AAAAAAAACATTAAGTTCGCCCGGGCCAAACTTTTAATACCCCCACCGTAGGGTAAAAGAAATATGAGCCCATTATGACCCACATATACCAATTTTTAAACATATTCACGGGAAAATGTGAAAAATCATCAAAATACCGAATATCGGGAGGTACCGTTATATGTGGGCTATACCAAATCGTGGAACTAAACATGCAATGTTTTGCCAAAAGAGCTAAACCCTTTATGACCTACAAATATCAATTTTTAGACAAATCCGTGAAAAAATACCGAATATCGGGAGGTACCGTTATATGGGGACTATACCAAAACGTGTACCTACCCATACAATGTTTCGGCACACGAACTAGGACCCATTATGACCTACAAATATTTTCAATACCAACCACCATAGACACAATACAAATTGCTCTGCTAAATTTTGGCGCTCTACGTCAAATAAAGTGGGCTGTATCGTGATTTCAACAGACAGACAGACAGACGGACATCGTTAAATCGACTTAGAATGTTATGCTGATTATGAATATATATACTTTATGGGGTCTAGGACGAATATTTAAGTAAGTTGCAAACGGAATGACAAAGTTAATATACCCTCCTTTCCAAGGTGGAGGGTATAAAAATGACCCAAGAAAATATTAGGTCGCCATGGGGTTTAACGCCTTTAGACTGCTTTTATGTCCTAAGTAATGTGGCTATCGAGGGTATATATCATTTGATACGGCCTAGGTCTCTTTGGACCAAATCCGTTTCAAGATATTTGGAGTCGATCTAGTGATGTTCGTCCGTCTGTCTGTCTGCCTGCTAGCTGGTGCGCACGATAGCTCTCGAAGGGAGTATACGATTTTGTCCAAACTAGGTATATATATATATACATATATACTATATATATATACATATATAAATATAAATATATACATATATATATATATATATATATATATATATATATATATATATATATATATATATATATATATATATATATAAGTTTGGCATACATATTTTCAGGCCTAATTTGGGTGTATATGCAAAATTCCATACAATTCGGGCTGATATTACACGTTTGGATCACAATAAAAGGCAAATCGGACAAAGATATATATGGTAGCTATATCTAAATTTTGACCGATTATCTCCAATTTCAATAGGTTTCGTCCTTGTGCCAAACAAGCATGCACATTTTCAGCTGACCTCTTCGGCAAGTAAACACGATAATTTCGTTTGTTTACAAACTGCTGGATAACGAATGTCGAAAAAAACCAAATTCAGCAGTTCACCAATTTCGGCCGAGCGAAACAACTTTATAATTCTTTGGGTCTATTTTCTTTCTGTTGCGGTGTAAGTTCTTGCACTTTTTAGAATTGCAATGGCTTTACCCCGAGCTCATTTTTCAATATTTTCCGAATGGAATATTGCGATATGTTCAGCTCACGAGCCATTTTTCGGCCACTGCGACGAGGGTTTCGATCAAGTCGCTTCTTTACTTTTCGATTTCGAACCATTTCTGCTGATGTTGCTGTTTTCTTCCGACCACTTCCTTGACGTCGGGCTACGCTACCAGAGTATTACGGTAACGAGCGATGGTACGAGACACAAAAGATTTATTTACATTTAAATGCTGGAGTGCTCTAACGATAGCCACTTGTGGTTTTCCTGCCAAATATAAAGAAATCACACTATCACGCTTGAATTCCATCACGAATAACTTTTTTTTCTGGAAAATTCTCACCAAAAAGCTTTTGTACGCTTGTAAACAATATAATGAGCTGCCACTGGAATGATTTTAACAGCTGTTGGACGAGTGGCTTAGAAATGACAGTAGTCTGAAGTTGGTTGCAGTTTTTCCATCTCACCCTGTATATAATTTGATACGGTGACGGTTTCATTGGCCGTTTGAAGGCCATAATTCGTGCCAAAGGTGACCAATTCGCTATTTCCGACAATGTTTTGTTTTCGTTCAATAAAATTAAAAAAAAAGTAAAAATTTTGGCGTTTGACTTTGTTACAGCTTTTTATCTCACCCGGTATATGCCGGCTTCTTTATCCATAATACCGAATTTGTGGTCCATCGTTACATACCGTTATCATCCACGTAGGGAATGTTTTTCAATAGCTTTATCTTAAGCTCCGGATTGTTGTCTTCAGTTCTCACGACAATTGGTGCTTCGATAGTGGTTTCTGTCTGTTAATACCCTTCAAGAACCGGAACCAAAGAAATTTCAAAATATATCCTCTCTCTGTTATAATCAGGCAATCTTTCGAACGAATTGAGATAGAAGTATTTACCGGAATTATTTCAACGTTTATATTTAAAGTTCGTAATGGGTACTACAGCCTATGACAAAAATTTGTGCATGCTGGTCACCATCTTCGTATAGCTCCCATATAACAGTAACTCCCGATATTCGGTATTTTGATGATTTCAGTAACATTATTCACCGGAATCGTTTTAAATTTCGTAAAAAAATTTCGGCCGAACTTAGCTGATTTTTTTAAGCACAGCTGCTTTTGCTTGTAGTGAACCTCTTAGCACTAGCGGGGGAAAGCTACTTTTCTTTTAAGTTTAACAAAGTTAAGACTCGACTGATCGAATATTAAAATGAGAAGAGAATCCAACCTTGATCTTCGATTATCAATTCAATTCTAGTTATACCCTCCACCTTGGAAAGGAGGGTATATTAACTTTGTCATTCCGTTTGTAACATCCTTAAATATTCGTCGTAGACCCCATAAAGTACATATATATTCATAATCAGCATAAAATTCTTTATTCATAAATATAAAAATTCTAACGATGTCTGTATGTCCGTCTGTCTGTTGAAATCACGATACAGAGCACATTATTTGACGTAGAGCGCCAAAATTTAGCAGAGCAATTATCGGTCCACGTTCTGGTATAGTCCCCATATAACGGTACCTCCCGATATTCGGTATTTTGATTATTTTTGCCACATTTTTTCACGAATTTGTCTGAAAATTGGTATTTGTAGGTCATAACGGGTCCCTGTACGTGTGGCAAAACATTGCATGTATAGGTCCACGTTTTGGTATAGCCCCCATATAATGGTACCTCCCGATATTCGATATTTTGATTATTTTTGCCACATTTTTTTCAACGGATTTGTCTAAAAATTGGTATTTGTTGGTCATAATGGGTTTCAGCTCCGGTGGCGAAACATTGCATGTATGAGTCCATGATTTGGTATAGCCCCCATATAACGGTACCTCCCGATATTCGGTATTTTGATGGTTTTTGCCACATTTTTTCACTGATTTCTCTAAAATTTGTTTGTGAGTCATAATGGGTCCTAGTTTGTGTGGCGAAACATTGAATGAATAGGTCCACGTTTTGGTATAGTCCCCATATAACGGTACCTCCCAATATTCGGTATTTTGATGATTTTTGACACATTTTTTCACGAATTTCACTGAAAATTTGGTAGTTGTAGATCATAATGGGTCCCAGTTCGTGTGGCGATTCATTGTAATTATAGGTCTACGTTTTGGTAAAGCACCATATAACGGTACCTCCCGATATTCGGTAATTTGATGATTTTTGCCACATTTGTTCACATATTTGTCTGAAAATTGGTATTTGTAGGTCATAATGGGTTCTGGCTCCTTTGGCCGAACCTTGCACGTGTAGGTCAACAATTTGGTATAGCCCCCATATAACGGTACCTCCCGATATTCAGCATTTTAATGGTTTTTGCCACATTTCTTCTAATGTTTCCTTTACCCTAAGGTGGAGGATATTAAAAGGTTGGCCCGGCCGAACTTAATGTTTGTTTACTTGTTTTTTATTTAAAAATATATTTCTTAAGTGCTACTAAAACTAATCAAACTTAACCCAATCGCAGCCACGCAATTGTTCTTACATATTATTAGATTGGTTCCTTCATTCAAGTGAGCTTCTGAGCCCTATGATATCCGTATTTGTGTGTGTGTGTGTGTTGATCACAACATTTAAATCTTTTGGTATTCTTGTAGAGTCCTTAAGAATATTCCGTTTCTCTTAGTGCTTAATCGCTGGCAAATTACACCGCAAATTTCTTATCCTAATGCACCTCGAAGTCAGAGCTGGATTTGGGTACTTTTCTTAGCATCCTCCATTACTGGTGTAAGGCACCACATACTCGGTACAGTTTTATCTTAGCTCTTTTTATTTGTTTTACACTAATAATGGCACAATATCAACGATTAATTTGTAGTTATTTTTAAGAATATCTATTAGTTATTTTCTCTTTACTTAGTACTTCTTCTTCTTTTTTTGACCTCACAACCTTATTTGTTTACATTATCCAAACCTCGTAACTCTCCCTCCCTCCACACAAAAATGCAAAATGAAACCAAGCAATTTTCGAGCATTACTTCAAAATGACACAGAGAGTGATAAGGAAAAACCTCCACAAATTTGTTTAACATCACCATGAATTCGGAATGCAAATCCGTTTGTGGATGTTTCAGCCACCCTAGTAAACCATCGTAATAATGTTAAATGATTGTCACATTTTTTTGTCAGCACAAAATCCCCCACCTTCTCTCGCTCTCTCTCTCACCCCTCTCGCTTCCTCTGTGTTACGTTATCTTCCATTCCATTTATTTTCTTTACCTATCCTTGCAAGAACGTCATGTCACCAGGACACGTATTCACTTTGCATACTGTGGTGTATGTGTGTGTGTGTAGGTGTATGTGTGTGAGTATGTGACCCTCCATCCACTACTTGTGCTGCTGGTCCATCTTTCTTTCTTTCGTTCTAACCCAACACGTCCTTAAATGTGTCACCTTTTGTAGGAGTTTATGGTTGTTATTGTTTCTGTTGGTGTTTGTTCTTTATTCTATTTTTTCACTCTACTCTACTTCTTCTTCTTCTTGTACTGGCCCCAGTTCCCCGCACATGTCGTGTTTCGGGGGAGTGACACAACGACACTCTGAGCTGAAAATGACACACAACAAACACTTCATGCTGATGTTTATGTGTATTTTAATGATTCCAGGACTACGTGACCATATATGATGGCTATACTACGCGTGATCCAATTATGCTGAAATTCTGCGGTGGTGGCCAAGCCGTGCCGGCAGCTGTCTCCAGTGGACCAGAGTTATTAGTGGAGTTTACCACTTCACCCTATGGCACATTTACGGGGAGTTCATCACAAGTCTTGCCACTTTATGGCTTTCAATTGGAGGTATGTTGACAGCAACAGGGCACATGAGTGCGTGACTTGTTATATATGTATGCAAATGTATGTGTGTGTGTGTCTGTTTCCATAGGTTGAAGTTATTTTTGTCGATGTGCAGTCACCCACCTATTCGAAAAACAAAAAACCCTGTGAATTCTGGATAAGAGGTGCCGGCAGAGGCGTTCTAGAAAATCCCAAACATTCGCTGGCGCCCAACACCACTTGCCTGTATCATCTACAGGGTGTTGGTATTTTCAAGACATTCGATCATTTAAGCCTCTCCAGACGTACCAATGCCCAGGGCGCCCATGCTCCACCATCACGTTTCAAGGTATGGATTTCAATGTTGAAATTCAATTTGGATCCGGAATTTGGACAAATCGATGAGACGTCGGTTGGTGCCATTGGCGTTCTACAGACGCAGGAGGATTGTAGCGGCATGTTGCGTATTTGGGATGGTTCGATGAGAGAACCACCGGTGTGCAAAGATTTAAATTGGTAAGTTCGCTTGAATTTAGTCTAAAATTTTTGTTTTTGAAAGCCTTTTTATTTTTAGCATAACCGAAACCAATTTGGTCCATCCCTCGCTGCAGCAATACTCCCACAATACCACAAATGTTATTGCCCGTTATTGTCGTGGCACCGTACCCCGGACGTGTGATCGTGCCAACATCAATGAAACCTATGCTCGCCCCTGTACTGTCTCAGAGAGTTATGTTTCCAGTGGTGATTCAATTACCCTGGAATTGAAGAACACCGAAGCGACTGTTCTAAGGTAAGTCGAAACAAAATAAAGCAACATGGTTAAAAAAATGAAGTAAAAGACACAGCTAATTAATTAAACTATTATTACGTACTTCAATAATGACCTACTTCAATTAAGCTATTCACTGAAAAGAACTAGGGAACTAGGCCAATCAAAGCCATGGTCATTAGCATGGCTAACAATTGGGGTAGACTCATTCGCCAAATTGAATATGGCAACCCTTTCCTGACGAACTCGACCTTGTAATTTTTATACCCACAGCCATATGACTAGAGAGGGTATCTATACAAAGACTTGGACCTGCACAGACAATTTTTGTCATAAGCCATTAAAATATTCAAACACGAAACTAAAAAAAAAATCCGGTGAATGTTGTAGCTAAAATTATCAAAATGCCGAATATAGGGAGGTACTGATATATGGGGCCCATACGGAAATCTGGAACTACAAAGAGAATTTTATGTCATAGACTGCCATTACGAACTCTAAATTTAAAACAACTCCGGTGAATAATGTCGCTAAAATCATCAAAATACCGAATATGGGAAGGTACTGATTTATGGGGCATATACGAAGACCAGTTAGACAATTTTCTGTCATAGACTGTAGTTCCCATTACGAACTCAAAATTGAAAATTTGAAACATTTCCGGTGAATAATGTTGCTAAAATCATCAAAATTCCGAATATTGGGATGTACCGTTGTGGTGGGCGGGGGGCTGTACGATATTGTGAACCTGCGTAGACAGTTTTCCGTCACAGGTTGTAGTACCCATTACGTACCTCAAATATGACATTTGACGCAATTCCGATGAATAATGTTGCAAAAATCCTGGACCTATTATCTCGGGGTATCGTAATATGGGTGCTATACTAAAACGTAGACCTATATTCACAATTTTCTTCCAGGGGATAAAGTACTCAGAGGGAACTCCTTGTGTAGAGTATCAGTCAATGCCATTCATAAATGTGACTAAAATCATCAAAATACCTAATACCCCCATTAATGGGGGCTATACGATATCGTGGACTATAGAAAATTCTCTTTCAGGGGGAAATTACTCACAGAGAACTTCACGTGTAGAATTTCAGACAATGCCATTGAAAAATGTGACTAAAATCATCAATATACCGAATAAGGGGTGTATCGCTATATAGGATATATACGATATGGTGGACCTATATAGACAATTCTTTTTCAGGGGGTTAAGTACTCAGAAGTAACCTCTTGTGTGGATTTTAAGCCAATTCCATTTAAAAATGTGGTTGAAGTCATCAAAATACCCAATAGGGGGGCTCCATTGTATGGGAGTATTGTATCGTGGACCTATGTAGATAATTCTCCTTCAGAGGCTAAAGTACTGACAGAGAACTCTTTGTGTAAAATATGAAAATGTGGTTAAAATTATCAAAATACCGAATATGGCGGAGACTGTTATATGGAGTCTATACGATATCGTGGACTGATACAGCCCATCTTCGAACTTCACCTGCCTGCAGACAAAAGACAGACAAAGTTTTAGCTTCCTATCTTTATTCGTTTTGACTCTAGCGTGATTACAACAGCCGGACGAACGGACAGGACTAAATCGTCTTAGAATTTTACACTGATCAAAAATATATATACTTTGTTGAGTTACAAATGGAATGACGAACTTAATATACCCTCCATATTATTAATGGTGGAGGGTATAACAAAATCTCTTCACAATTTATTTTAATCCTATTTCATCACAAACTCTCTCTCTCTCCCTCTCTCTCGATTTCCATCTAGACCCCTGGAATTTAAACTAAAATACGAATTCATAGATCTCCATCAGGATGGCCTGCCGATGGGCGGTGGTGAGCTGGATTGCAATCGTAAATTTGTCAGCAGCTTAATGGACCGCAAGGATCCGGCCATTTTTCGCAGTGTACGTAATATATTTCTGTTTGGACGTGGCGGCACACGCAATCTCAAGTGCATTTACAAATTTGAGGGGATGCGCGGTGAGAGGGTTCGCATTAAATTACGCAAAGTGACCACAATGAATCGTCAGTGTATGTCACGTGTGGATGAAGACATAAATAGGTCATTCTGTTATGGTGATACCAGTGTTAAAGTGGAGGTGAGTGCGAGGCAAACAAAAAAGAAGCGCAACGCGAAACTGACAGATGGAGTTGTCACCCATTCAAACATACTTTCCATGCATGCATACATGGTGGTGTAAATGGATGGCGGGTGGATGGGGGGCGGGGTAGTAGATTGTAATGATGGCTGCACTCATTCATGCACGCATGAATTGCTATGCAAAATAGCCGCAACAGTGTGACCGGTTGGATGCTTTTGTTATTTAATAACAAAATTGATTGATAGGTGGTCACGTGGATCCATCGCCATATTATCCGCACCCCCCATCGTCCGAAAACATTTACCCAGCGCTTTCAAGTGATTATTACCCATGTAATGGTTGTTGTTCTTTTTGTTTTGCCGCTTGCAGATATTCGAGAGGCCATATCATGACACAATTTTATTACCTCGCGGTTGCCTTTGTAACTCATCCAATTCCTCGCATCTGCCGGTGGAATATACATCGACCAGCCGTGATGTGGAAGTCCATTTCACAGCCTACAACATGTCCACTCTCGATGATCCGGATGCTTTAAATTTCGAGGGTATGTTTGAGTTTGTAAAAGGACCCACCAATTGCAAGGATGGTCGTCGCAAATTCGGTCCCAGCGGCACAATTGATATGACATTCGGTGATGTGAGTATGATAAACGTGTGTGCACACACGTCTGTTTTTTTTAACAATGGCCTGTTGGTACCAGTGTCGAAAGTGGCCTTAATCGCCTGTATTGCGATCAACCACAAATCTGTATTGAAAGTTCCCTCAAAATGTATTAACATTGATTTTTTTTATTTATGCCATTAATTTATTGGTGTTTTCCGCTTGTTTTATGTTCTTCACAGATGGAGTGTCGCACCCGGCCATGGCTTATTGAACCATCGAATGGTAATAAATTTCTTTATGTGCGACTGAAGGCGATATTTTTGCGCAAATATAATCCGAAGAGAGCAGCGAACACAAGTCTGTTGGTCACAAGTTCGTATCGATGTGAGACGAATTCAAGAGTTGTCCTGACAACGTCAGAAGGTATGTGGATTAAATTTGAAGAAGTATTTGTTTTTGTCCGTTGAGATTTTGTGATTTTTATGCCCTACACCATTCAATGGAGGGTATATTAGCTTTGTCATTGCGTCTGTAACTCCTCGAAATATTCATAACAGACCCTACAGAGTATATATATTCTGGATCAGCGTGAAATTCCAAGCGATGTCCGTATGCCTGTCTGTCTGTCCGTCCGACTGTCTGTTGTAATTACGCTATCTTTCGAACGAATTGAGATAGAAAGCTAATATTTTGCATACATGCATAGTTCACAAGTAAATGGACCATATCGATGGACCACGTTTTCGTATAGTCCCCCCATATAAAGGTACCTCCCGATATTCGGTATTTTAATGATTTTAGCGACACTATTAATCGGAATTGTTTAAAATTTGGTATTTGATGTTCGCAATGGATACTACAGCCTGTGACAGAAAATTGTCTGTGCAGGTCCATGTTATGGTATAGCCCTCATATAACGGTACTTCCCGATATTCGGTATTTTTGTGATTTTAGCGACATTATTAACCGGAAGTGTTTCAAATTTCGTATTGAAAGATCTTAATGAATACTACAAACCTAAGACAGAAAATTGTCTGTGCGGGTTCACATCTTCGTGTAACCCCATATAACGGTAGCTCCGGATATTCGGTATTTTGGTGATTTTAGCGAATTTATTTACCAGAATTATTTCAAATTTGGTATTTGAGGTTCGAAATGGAAACCTCAGCCCAAGACAGAAAATTGTTTGTGCAGGTCCACGTCTTAGTATAGGCCCCATATAATAGTACCTCCCGATATTCGGTATTTTAAGGATTTTTGCGACATTCTTTACCGGTCTTGTTTCAAATTCGGTATTTAAAGTTCGTAATGGGTAATACAACCTGTGGCAAAAATTTACATATGCAGGTCCATGTCTTCGTATAGCCCCCATAAAGCGGTACCTCCCGAGAATCGGTATTTTGATGATTTTAGCGACATTATTAACCGGAATTTTTTAAAATTTGGTACTTGATGTTCGCAATGGATACTAAAGCCTGTGACAGAAAATTGTCTGTGCAGGTTCACGTTTTGGAATAGCCCCCATATAATAGTACCTCTCGATATTCGGTATTTTAATGATTTTAGCGACATTATTAACCGGAATTGTTTCAAAATTGGTATTTGAAGTTCGAAATGGAAACCTCAGCCCAAGACAAAAAGTTGTCTGTGCAGGTCCATGTTTTGGTATAACCCCCATATAATAGTACCTTCGTATATTCGGTATTTTGATGATTTTGATGATGCAGGTCCACGTAGTCGTATAGACCCTAATATAATGTCTACGTTCGGTATTTTTTTAGATTTTAACAGACTTTTTAACCATTTTTTTTAATTGGCTAAATTCGTTTCAAATGGTGTAGGGTATTTAGAGTTCGGCCCTGCTGAACTTACAGCTTTCTTATTTGTTTTTGTTTTTTTTTTTTTTAAATTTCCTAACTTTTGTGCGGGAGGTACCAAAAGGAGTGGATCGATATTGCCCATTTTCGAACTCGATCTAAGTTTGATAATAATACTACGATGCTCCAAGTTTGGGCCAAATCAAAAACTCCTTTCGAGAGTCATCGTGCGCACCAGCCAGGCAGCTAACCAAACGGACGGACGACATAGCTAGATCTACTCCAAAATTTACTGAAACGGATTTGCTCCAAAGAGACCTAGGGTATAAAGTCGTTATTTCGATGCGGCACGTTTTGGCCTTATCAAATGATATTTACCCTCTCTAGCCATATGACCGAGGGAATAAAAATGGTTTCATTCCAATTCGGCCTTAACACACACAATTTCACCATTAAAACTTTTCTCATTTCGTAATTTCTCAGTGTTTGCAATGTGACTTTAATATTCTCCATTTGTTAAACAAGGAGAACAAACATATTGCACCATAATTAATTTGAATTTAGAATCTCCATCTGCAAATCAGTTGTATTGCCTTTTGTCAAGGCTTTACAATTAAAATGGTTCTGTATATTTTTTTTCAGTCTTCCAATAGACTCTATAATTTCTAATCAAGCCTTTCTTTTTATGGAATCAACTACAAGTAGTTTGGCATTTATCCTCTTACAGGAGTTAATTTGAGAAAATATGCTTGTACTACAACACATATACACACACAAACCAGTAAAGAAAGTCTTAAAGTCAGGCGGGGCCGACTTTATGATACACTACATCACTTTGCTAATTTAGTAGAGCTCCACATAACAATTATAATTATAATATAAAGTTCAAGGACTAAATATGCCGAAGCATTTGTATATTTTAAATTCGGAATTGTATTGCCCATTTTGTGCACAATTGATTTTAAATCGGATAAAGATATATATGGCAGTTATATCCAAATCGGAACCGATCTTGATAAAATTTGGCAAAGATATTTCTGAGCTGTATTTGATATATTTCCCTGAATATCGTTGTTACGGAGTGCATATTACGGCTGTGGGTAACAAATACAACAAATCGGATGAACAATATATATGGGAGCTATAGCTATATCTGAACCGATTTCGATCAAATTTGGCATACATATTTTCAGGCCTAATTTGGCTATATATGGAAAATTCCATACAATTCGGGCTGATATTACACGTTTGGTGCACAATAAAAAGCAAATCTGACGAAGATATATATGGGAGCTATATCTAAATTTTGACCGATTATCTCCAATATCAATAGGGTTCGTCCTTGGGCCAAACAAAACATCGTTGCAAAATTTCATCTGGATCGGGCAATAAATGCGACCTGTACTTTGTTTACAAAAATACATGGACAGACAGACGGACGGACATGCATAAATCGACTCAGAATGTGATTCTATGCAGATCATCAAAAGGAACTATGGGTCTATCTCGTTTCCTTCTGCCTGTTACAAACAAATGCACAAAGACATAATACCCTGACCACCTTGTGGTGTAGGGTATAAAAAGAGCTCCAGAAAAAGGACCTCAACAACAAGCTCTCGCCTAAACCTATTTATTCACAGACTATCACCAATCACAGCAATAATTTCATTTACATGATGTTCTCTATGCTTTTCTGGTTTTCAGGTTTGGCCATTACCGCCTGCCCCCTGTCACCCGACTCCAAGGCCTACGAATTTGTGGAAATATTCAGTGCAGGCTGGAATGAACGTCCCAATTTTGCCATTGCAAATCGTTCGAAAGCCATCAGTGTAGAGTTCCTAAGACCAGAGAATGGTGATTTTTCATTTAATTGGATGGAATTGATACCTGGACCAACGTTAAGCATTGCAGGTAAGTGTGTGCGGGGGAGGGGGCTTCCTAGTTGCAAATTTTTAATGCCTTCTTTGTGTTCTGTTTCTTCGTTTTTTACGAGCAGAAGAATGCCAATACAAGTGCAGTGAACTGAATGCCTGTGTGAATGCCAGTGTCTGGTGTGATGGCATCCAACATTGTCCTTCGGGTGACGACGAAACATTCCTTCAGTGTTCGGCCATTATGAAGCTACCCACAGAAATATTGGCCACATTGTGTCTGATTATTGTGCTCTTCTGTTGTGCATTCGCAGCGTTTGCCTACAAGTAAGTGAACAAATAAAAATTTACGAAATCTGTTTTTAGCCTCTAAAACAAATTGGATGGTAAAAAAAGATGAAGATGCCGATTTTCGATTGGGGAGGGAAAATAAGTTACGTATTTACACTTTTTAATTACATTTTGTACATCTGTTGGCAGTATTCAAACAAAGCCGAAACCTTATTTAGGATTTGAATCTACAGACCGATTTTGATCTACAGAAAACGAAATTCAATGTTACATTTATTCGATAATTTGATCTAAGTTTTCGGAAATCGACTCTCATCAACGTCATTTCCAATAACCGGTTCAAATTCTTTCAAGTACAAGCGACTAGATACCCTCCACCATTTGGAACGAATTTGGCAATTAAAAAAAAAAATAATAAAAAAATCTGCTAAAATATTAAAAATACAGTATGTATCCGTCATATTAGGGTCTATACGACAACGTGGACCTTCATAGGCAACTTTTGCCATAAGCCATTACAATACAAAATGCGAAACTTGAAAAAATCGGTGAATAAGGCCACTAAAATCATCAAAATACAGAATGCACAGACAGTCTCCTGTCACAGGCTGTAGTAACCATTAGGAACTTCAAATATCAAATTTGAAACAATTCCGGTGAATAATGTCGCTCAAATCACCAAAAAACCGAATATAGGGAGGTACCATTATATGGGGACTATACAAAGACGAGGTCCTGCACACACAATTTTCCGTCTAAGGCTGTAGTATTCATTTCGAACTTCAAATACCAAATTTTAAAAAATTCCGGTGTCGCTAATGTCGCTAAAATAATCAAAATACCGAATATCGAGAGGTACCATTATATGGGAGCTATACGAAGGCGTGGACCTGCGCGGACAATTTTCTGTGATAGGCTGTAGAATCTATTACGAAATTCAAATGCCAAATTTGAAACAATTCCGGTGAAAAATACGGCTTAAATCGCCGAAATACCGAATATAGGGAGGTACCTTTATATGGAGGCTATACGATGACGTAGACCTGCACAGACAATTTTCTGTCGTATGCTGTAGTATCCAGTACGAATTTCAAATACCAAGTTTGAAACAATTCCAGTGAATAATGTCGCTAAAATCACCAAAATGCCGAATATAGGGAGGTACCATTATATGGGGACTATACTAAGACGTGGTCCTGCACAGACAATTTTCTGTCTTAGACTGCAGTATCCATTACGAACTTCAAATACCAAATTTGAAACAATTCTGGCTAATAATGTGGCTAACATCATCCAAAAACCGAATATCGGGAGGTACTGCTATATGAGGGCTATACGAAGGCGTGGACCTGCATAGACAATTTTCTGTCATAGGCTGTAGTAACCGTTACGAACTTCAAATAACAAATTTGAAATAATTCCGGTGAATAATGTCGCTAAAATCATCAAAATACCGTATTATCGGGAGGTAGCATTATATGGGGGCTATACGAAGATATGGACCTGCACAGACAATATTCTGTCTAAGTTTGAAGTACCTATTACGAACTTCAAGTATCCAATTTGAAATAATTCTGGTGAATAATGTCGCTAAAATCATCAAAATACCGAATGCCGGGAGGTGCTGCTATATGGGGGCTATACGTAGACGTGGACCTACATGCCCCATTTTCAATACCAAAAGTCCTGCATACACAATATACATTTGAGTAAAATTTTATCAACCTACTTCATTTCGTTCGGAAGCTTGAGTGATTTCCACAGACGGACATAGGGACGGACATCGCTAAATCGACATAGAACTTTATGCTGATCAAGAATATATATACGTTGCGGGGTCTAAAATGTATATTTCGAGGTCTTACAAACGGAATGACGAACTTCATATACATATATAAAAATAGAATAATACAAAACACTCATCCGCTTTTTTTCTTCCTTTGCAGAAAAATCAAAAGAAAATTCCGAGGATCTTCGGTATTGCAGACACGACTCAAATCGCTCAGTTCCATGGATACGGCTGTTCTGGATGAAAAGGAGGTGATTTGCTGACAAAGCGACAATTCTGTGCGATATGTGGAAATAGATCGGGTCACTACAGTCTGACCACATTCTATGGCCGCTTTAATCACAAATATCGCACAGAATTGTGTCCCTATTTTCAGTAGACTGTTATAAATCGGAATCAAGCAAACAACCAACAACAACTATGACTATATACTTACATTTAAACTAAATTGTAAAACTAAATTAAAAAAAAATCCGAAACAACAATAAGTAATTGATATGTTAATGTGAGTGATGATGACGATGAAGTCACACGGAATGAAAAAAAGAAAACCAACTCTAATTTCGAAGCATGTACTCTATTCTCGAACACTTGTTTTTAAGGCAAATTTTTAGGAACTAAATTTAAGTTTTCCAAAAAAAAAATAAAAACAAAATAAGTAAAACAACTGACATATGTTGACAACGTTGAAAATATTCAATAACCAATAGATCTTCTGCCGAAGATACACTTTGTTAAAACTCACACACACACACATATTTTCTACGGTCAACAAATTTCATACATATTAATTTTGTGAATAGTTAAGAAGTAAAACAAAAACATTAAATTACTCCTTCTAAAGGTTTTTAATTAGTATTACCAGAGAACAAGAAAAGAAGAAGAAAAACTATAACCAAAAAAAACAATCCTTGAATTAACGGAACCTAAGGTAATGAAAAACTCAAATACAGAGAGAAAACTCCAATAGCAACAAATGCTATTGGCTGCAAAAAATAAATAAGATTTGTCTCAAAATCGAACAAAATCAGAAATGAAATGGACTGATGTATTTAATCTAGTTACATACATGCATATGTACGAATTTGCAAATATTACGCAAACTTACGCGAGCATGGCACAATTTAAGATAAGAACTATACCCATGGTAGAATTAAGATGGTATAATCATGCAATCATATGTTTTCAATTTTTTTTTCAAAATTACTCATTTGACAATATTTCACATGTAAAAAAGCTGTATATCCTCCACCATTTGAAAAGAATTTGGAAATTTTCAAACAAATAAAATCCGTTAAAATTCTGTTAAAATCTTAAAAAAATCTCTTAAAATGCCAAATGTGGCCGTCATATTAGTGTCTAAACGACGACGTAGACCTACATAGGCAACTATTGTCCTAAGACATTACAATATTCATATGCGAAATTTGAAAAAAAAATCGGTGAATAATGTACCTAAAATCATCAATATAGGGAGGTACTATTATATGGTACTATCACATACAATTTTCTGCCTTAGGCTGTAGTATCCATTACGAACTCCAAATATCAAATTTGAAACAATTACGGTGAAAAATGTCGCTAAAATCATTAAAATCTCGAATATCGGGAGGTACCATTATATGGGGGCTATACGAAGACGTGGATCTGCACAAACAATTTTCTGTCAAAGGCTGTAGTATTAATTACGAAATTCAAATACCAAATTTGAAACAATTCCGGTGAATAATGTCGCTAACATCATCAAAATACCGAATATCGGGAGGTACGATTATTTGGGGGCTATACAAAGACGTGGATCTGCACAGACAATTTTCTGCCTTAGGCTGCGGTATCCATTACAACAATTTTCTGTCTTAGACTGCAGTATCTATTACCAACTTCAAATACCAAATTTGAAACAATTCCGGTGAAAAATGTCGCTAAACTCATTGAAATATCGAATATAGGGAGGTACAATTATATGGTGGCTATACGAATAGGTGGATCTGCGCAGACAATTTTCTGCCTTAGGCTGTAGTATACATTACGAACTTCAAATAACAAAATCTGAAACAATTCCAGTGAATGAGGTCGCTAAAATCAACAAAATACCGAATATCGGGAGGTACCGTTATATGGGGGCTATACCAAAACGTGGACCTACATCACCCATTTTCAATACCTAAAGTCCTTCAGACATAATACACATTTAAGTAAAGTTTTGTCAACGTACTTCAGTTCGTTCCGAATCTAGAGTGATTTCCACAGAATGAAAGCAAAAAATGTCGGAAATAGCATCAAATTTTAGAATAAGTTTAGATTTGTTCGAATTGGTCACCTTTGGCACGAATAATGGCCTTCAAACTGCCAATGAAACCGTCACACCCGAATGTTGCTCTGAGGTATTTTGGCCCATTCCCGGCGAAGGGCTTGCTTGATTTTTTTAGTGCCAACCTTGCTTTCCAAAATACTCCAGACACAATAGTCCAACGGATTGAAGATTTTGGTGGAACCTCATTTTTTAATCATTCTTGGGTGGCGCGTGCTGAGTGCGATGGTTGTGAGTCCTGTTGGAATGTCCATGGCCCTCCAGAATATTTTCGCTATAATATTCGACATTTATTGGTTGGTTGGTTAATACAAGCGGAGAGCGACCATCGGCTGTTATGGCGGCCCACACCTTCACCATGGCCGACGCTTGAGTTCTGATGGCCAACCGAAGCTGCACATTTTCAGCTGACCTCTTTGGCAAGTAAACACGATAATTTTGTTTGTTTACAAACTGCTGGACAACGAACGTTTTCTTATCGGAAAAACCACATTCGGGAGTTCACCACTTTCGGCCCAGCGAAGCAACTCTTTAGCATTTTTGAGTCTATTTTCTTTTTGTATCGGCGTAAGTTCTTGCACTTTTTGGAATTTCAATGGCTTTACCCCGAGCTCAGTTTTCAATATTTGCTGAATCTGCATGTTCAGCTCACCAGCAATTTTTGGGCTACTGCAATACGGGTTTCGATCAAGTCGCTTCTTTACTTTTCGAACCATTTCTGCTGATGCTGTCGTTTTCTTCCGTCCACTTCCTTGACGTCGTGCTACGCTACCAATATCACAATAACGAGCGATGGTACGAGACACTAAAGATTAATTCGGAGGTCAAATTACCGAATATCGGGAGGTACCGTTATGTGGAGGCTATAAAAAATCGTGGACCTATACATACAATGTTTCGCAACCGGAGTTAGAACACATTTCGAAATACAAATACCAATTTTTAGACAAATCCGTGAAAAAATGTGGCAAAAATCATCAATATACCGAATATCGGGAGGTACCGTTATATGGGGACTATACAAAATCGTGGACCTATACATGAAATGGAGCTAAAACCCATTATGGCCTACAAATACAAATTTTTAGACAAATCTGTGGAAAAATTTGGCAAAAATCATCGAAATACCGAATATCGAAAGGTTTCGTTATATTGCGGCTATTCCAAAACGTGGACCGATGTATCTCATTTTCAATGCCCAACCATCCTAGAAACGATTCAAATTGTTTGGCCAATTTGTTAAGAAAAAAATAATTTATTGCGCAGAAAGAGAAAGGATTATTCGATTTTTTGCAATCTTTGCAAATCCCAATATTTTTATCAGGGCAATATAGGCCCACTCCATCGAGTATCTCGCCAAAAAATAGAGTCTGATTGCCTTCGATATTCCTATATACCGAAGAATATATCGGACCACTCCTTCTGGTACCTACCACACAAGGGGTCAAAATATTTAATAACCATGAAGCTCATAAAACGCGAAATGAACAACCAATTCATTTCAAACTCGGCACACCCCAATATTTTCATCAACACAAGATCTAATGTGAAGATGATAGATATCGGCCCACTCACAAAAAGTATTGCTTTAACTCTAAAATTCGGTTTTAATATTTTTTTGAATTCCTGGTGTTTAGGTAAAACTTGAACTTGGACTTGATGTATATTGGGACCCATAGTAGAATTTTATGGCAAATAATTTTGTTGAATATTTGCTACGATTGCGTTAAAAGGGAGTTTTAAAGCATAATTTTAAAAAAGAACCTAAAAGACCCCTTTGTTGACTCGATTGCGGTTTAAAATTTTCCACCAAAATTATCCTTGTATTGTTATCTGCAACATTGCCGAATACCTAAATATCAGTACCTAAAATCAATGGACTCCGATAGGTCTTAGTGTGAGTATTTCAAAAAATAAGGAGGAGAGGGAAAAATGGCCCGAATATTTAGGTTAGTTAGCCATGTAAACTTTCAAAACACTAATACACGTGGGTTCAATTTTCAGCTGGATTTTCCCAGTACTTTTTATCTTGCACCGTGTTATATTTGCAAATTCGTACAATCGTCAAGTCTAGCTATAGGAGTATCTGTAAAATGTATCTTCAATTTAAAACTAAATACTTAAATATATAAATTTACTACTAGTCTCATTTGGTTTTTTTTTTTTTTTTTCAACGATTTATTTTCTAGATTATCCTTTTTCCAGAGCATTTATTATGCGACGCACAACATTTTGAAGAGAAAAGAAAAAAAATCAAGATGCCTAGTTATAAGAATTATAAAAACAAAAAAAAAGTAGATTAAAAAATAGAATGGAATACATTGATGTGATGCGGTGTGCGGGGCAAACATTGTGGTGGATCTATAAGTAATTAAATCATTAAATCATAGTTTTATAAACAATTATGTATAACTAATTATTTTAATTAGAGATGTTTCAAAACAAATTTTAAATTGAATTTTTCTTCCTTTGGAAAATCAGTTGAACAAGGCTCAATACATGGTTGGATGGATAGTTAAATGTTAAATTTATTTGGTTAAAAAAAAAAGAAATAGATATCCAATTGAAATTTAAAGAAAGGTTGATTGTGAGTTTACAGCTTTCAATTCAGTTCTGCTATTTTACTTCAACAACATAAAAAATAACTACGGATCCGAAATAATCCAGCAGATTACTAAAAAGTAGAGCTAAACAAATAAAAAAACTGTAAATTCGGCCGGGCCGAACTTTGAATACCCTCCACCATTTGTAGCGAATTTGGCTATTTTCAAAACCTTAAAATCCATTAAAAATTCTGTTGAAATTTTAAAAATACCAAATGTTGCTGTTACGTTAGGGTCTATACGACGACATGGACCTGTTATTTGTCATAAGCCATTATATTATTCAAATGCGAAACTTGAAAAAAAATTCGCTGAATAATGCAGCTAAAATCATCAAAATACCGAATATCGGGAGGAGCCGTTACATGGGGACTATACGAAGGCGTGGACCTGCACAGACAATTTTCTGTCATAGGCTGTAGTATTCATTACGAAATTTAAATACCAAATTTCAAACCATTCCGGTAAATAACTTCGCTAAAATCATCAAAATACCGAATATCGGGAGGTGCCGTTACATGGGGACTATACGAAAACGTGGACCTGCACAGAGAATTTTTTGTCTTAGACTGTAATATCCATTACAGACTTCAAATACCAAATTTGAAACAATTCCGGTGAATAATGTCGCTAAAATCATAAAAATTCCGAATATCGGGAGGTTCCGTTATATGGGAGCTATACGAAGACGTGAACCTGCACAGACAATTTTCTGTCTTAGGCTGTAATATCCATTACGAACTTCAAATACCAAATTTGAAACATTTCCGGCGAATAATGCCACTAAAATCATCAAAACACTAAATATCGGGAGGTGCCGTTATATGGAGGTTATACGAAGGCGTGGACTTGCACAGACAATTTTCTGCCATAGGCTGTAGTATCTATTACGAACTTCAAATAGCAAATTTGAAACATTACCGATGAATAATATCGCTTAAATCGCCAAAATACCGAAAAAAGGGAGGTTCCTTTATATGGGGGCTATACGAAAACGTGGACCTACATGGCCCATTTTCAATACCAAAAGTCATGCGGACATAATATAGATTTGAATAAAATTTTATCAACCTACCTCTATTCGTTCGGAAGCTAGAGTGATTTCCACAGACGGATAGACGGGCAGACGCACAGACGGACGGACATCGCGCAAAAGACATAGAATTTTATGCTGGTCAAGAATATATATAAAAAATTATATTTCGAGGTGTTACAAACCGAACGATAAACATAATATACCCTCCATAATATTATGGGTCAAAGTTTTGAATAACTAAAACGATCATAAAAACCGAAATAAACATTCACTTCTCTTCAAATTACTCACATCACAATATTTTTTTAAATCCAATGTCTGGTATGTTGTTCTGATTTCGAACGAAATTGAATATAAATGTTCGATTTCCTTAAAATTTTGCCCATACCAATATTTTTATCTGTATTAGACGAAGTGTGAAAATTGAATACTTCTGTTCGCTAAATCGGTTACCTCACGCATATTTCCATATTTTCCCAAAATTTGCAGTATTCGGTATAGTCCAAACCAGGCAAGTTGTAATATTTATGTCCGTCTTAAGTCAGATACGTTTTAGGTCAGATATTGGCCAAAGGATGTACTTTCATGATCTGCTGGGTTTTTTCCCGTAATTATTTTTTGTGTTGCACAGTGTTATATAAAAAAGTTTTGTATCTGAAATATCATTAAAAGATTTGAATTTTTCCTTGAAAAATTGTCACCAGACGGCGAAATAAATATCTGCTGGTAAGACCTAGAAAAAAGAAGATTTTAACCCATACTTACATTTCTGTTACTGCAAGGACTATGTAAGTTCTATAACATCCAAACCTTTCAAATCTAGCAAATTTCAATTGGATTAAATTATTGTGGAAATAAAAACTGTTAAATCAAATTTAAATTATTTAAATATTTTTCTGAGTTTCATTTATGCAACTTTAATCAAAATCTCTTGTTACACCTAAAAATCTAGAAAATATTTGTTTTAAACAAAGAAAAATAAAATCCAAAATTGAAAATAGTTTTTAATTTAGAACAAGGAAAACATTATCAATGCATTTGTTAAATTTTAAGTGGAAAAGAAAACTAAATTTAAATGTTATAATTTTTAATGTTAATCAAATATTAAATAACAAATAAGTTTTACAAAGAAAAAGCCCACCCTATATTCTTTTTTTGAAAAAAAAAATATTGCGTTTTAAAAGAAATGAAAAAAGAAAACCAAAACAAAAACAAAAAGCAACAAAACATGTTAGTGAAACAGAAATCATTAAAACACTGCCCTCATAATACTACCAAAAAAAATATAATTTCAAATTTTTTTAACTCTTAAAAAAACATTATTAAATTTTAGTCAATTTTAATGCTTTTTCGGTTTCAAAATCAAAATAAATTTTAGTTAAATTTTAATAATTTCTTATTTTTAGAAATCAAAACTAAGCAAAACATACAAAATTAATATAAATGTGTATATCATCTCTATATTTCCAAATCAAATACACTGACAATAAGAAAACAGAGAACTACAAATATTTTTTGTTATAATTTTAGCAAAAAAACAAAAGAAAAAAACATAAACTAAGCAAAAAAGAAAAACAAGGAAAAGAAGAGAACTAAGGCGAAATTTATTTTTGAATTGCTAAATTTAACTGAAATGTGAATGGTAACTGTATTTTATGTATTCTAATTAAACTATAAACGCTCAATATAAGCAATAGATTAAATTATTTAATTCTTATTATACAAGATAAATATACTATATATATAAAAATACATATATATGCATATTTACTAATAAGTTAATTAAAAATCGTCAACAACAACAACAATGCGAAGGTAATAGAAAAATTAAAAATCATCTACGTTTGGCTATACAACAACACTATGTAACAAAGCCTTGGTTATATAATTGTACCCTCAGCCATATGGGTAGAGAGGCTATATATCAAATCCGTTTCAGGACATTTGGAGTCGATTTAGCGATGTTCGTCCGTCTGTCTGTCGAAGGGAGTATACAATTTAATCCAAACTCGATACATCGTAATAATTTTATCAAAAATTTAGATCGAGTTCGGAGATGGTAGCTCCCCCAGAAAAGGTCGACATTTTCAAAAAAATATTTTCTAGGATAATCCGATTTTTCTCCAACTTTGCAAATCTTAATAAGGATGAGATAACAAAAAAAAACTGCAACAAAGTCAAACGCCATAATTTTTACTTTTTTTCTTTTTTTGAATTTTATTGAATTAAAGCAAAAAATTTGGGATATAGCATCAAATTTTGGAATATGTTTAGATTTCTTCGAATCGGTCACCTTTGGCACGAATTATGGCCTTCAAACGACCAATGAAACCGTCACATGCTGCCCGTATGTTGCTCTGCGGTATTTTGGGCCATTCTCGGCTTGAGGTGTTCGACACTTTGGTATTTCTTTAGTGCCAGCCTTGCTTTCCAAAATACTCCAGTGACACAATAGTCCAACGGATTGGTATCTGGAGATTTTTGTGGCCATTGTGCGCTGGAAATGAAGCGAGGGACCTCATTTTGTAAGCATCAGGTCCTCATTATATTTCACGCATTCCATTATTTCTACTAACACAAGATCGGACCACTTCTTTTGGTACCTCCCCCTCATAAAACGCGAAATTAACATCCAATTCCATTCAGACTTGATGCATCTAAATATTTATTTCAACACAAAATCTGTTATAAATATGGTAGAGATCGGACCATTCCTTCGGGTACCTCCCCCACAAAGGGTCAAATTTTTAAATAACCAAAACGATACGAAGTTATCATCCGATTCTCTTCAAATTTTACACATCCTAATATTTCTATAAAAAAAAATACTCCGATGTGAAGATGGGATGTATCACCCCACAGGTACCTCCCCTACAATAGGTCCAAAATTTTGAAGAACTATGAAGCTCATACAACGGGATGTTAACTTCCGATTCCACTCAGATTTCCAATATCTCAATATTTCCTTCAACACAAGATATGTTATAAAGATGGTGGAGAGCATTCCTTCGGGTACCTGCCACATAAAGGGTCAAAGTTTTGAATAACAAAAACGATCATAAAGTCCGAAACTAACATACGATTCTCTTCATATTCCACACATCCCACTAAAAAAATTGAATAATTATAACTCTTAAAAAATGGGATGTAGGAGTCCGATTGTACCACTCTTTCTGTTATATTTTTTTAGGACCGATACGAAATGAGCCAATTCTTTCGGAACCTACTCCATTAAATTTAAATAATTGAATGTTAGCTGAGGATATAAATCTGTCGGAAAAACAGACTGATACTTTTAAACTTGCTGTAATGGATTTTAATCGATAATCAGTTCGATCTCATCGGACACCATCCTTTAAGAAATAGTACTTCCATGAGAAGTTTCCCCACTAGGGAGGCAATTATTATTCCAGCTGTGTTCTTCATTTTTCCCTGTACTGTCCTGAGGTGATTCCTTATTAGGAAAACATTAATTTTGCAATTGCGATCTTTATATTTTCTCTTTTCTCCCTCACTGCGATAACCAAAAACGGACGATTCATTTGGACAATTTTTTTTTAGAATTTTGGCCACTAAAAACTTTAAACTATTATATTTTATATAAATCGTTACATAGTGTTATACTAATTAATGAAAAATTTATTTTGATGTTTGGCCAATTTAAACAAACAAAAAAATAATGAATAAAAAAACAACCTTACAAAACAAGAAACTACATCAATTGGATTTTTACAAAATTAATTAAAAATTGAAGAATCAAATGAATTTAAATTTCTAGGAAACCGAAAACTAATTGTTCGTTTAGACATACATAATACAACATTCATCATTTCATTTTAAATTCGAACTAAAACTAAACAAATCAAAACATTAAAATTGTTCATAAAAAAAACGATGAAACTAAAAGGAAACAAATTAAAAAGGCAAAAAATAAAATTATAGAATAACTTATTTTGACGTACGTTAACATTTAGCGTCGTTTTTATATGAAATTACAAAACTAAGTAAAAAAAATATTAAACAAAAAAGAAATTAAAAATTTTCATAAAAAAACATGACAAAAATACAAAAACAAAAAAAAGTTATCCCTTTTTAAACTGTAAACGAAAAGTGTGTATTAATTACATTTGAAGAAAATTGTCTTACAATTATATAACTCTCATATGAAAAGAAAAGGAAAACAACAAAATGTTAAAACCTACAAAAAAACAAAATAATCCAATAAAAACTACCCTCGAGGATAAAGAAAATTTATGAAATTAAAAATATAAAATAATACAAAACAGATACAAAAAAAACCAACAAAAACAACAACAAAATAATGACTAATAAAAAATTGTGTTGCAAATCATATCATAAAAATTGAATAAAACATTAATAAACAAACGAAAAAAATAGAAAACATTAACAATTTGCATTTTTAATTTTAATTCGAATGAAAATAGGTGGGAAACTGAGAATCTTCGGAGGGAGCTGGTATGGTAACACCGCCCGTATCAACGGCTGGTTCATGCGGCAATGAATCGATGCTTTCCAACGGCAAAAAACAATCGGCAGAAGCCTGTAAATAAATTAAAACAAAAATAATTAAATATGAAAATCTGTTTAAAAAATTAAATTAAACAGTTCAACAAACCAAAATGGCTGGAGAATAATACTAATTTAATTAACTTAAGCACACTAGCCTTAAGCTGCAGAAAATATTGAAAAATGTCTGCGTTTAAATATTAGGTTTCTATTGCAATAGAATAAAAAGTTTATTATACCCTCAGGCATATGGCTCGAGAGGGTATATACAGGGTGAGAGGAAAAACTGCAACAAAGTCAAACGCCATAATTTCTACATTTTTTTTTTTTTTTTAATTTTATTGAATGAAAGCACAAAATGTCGGAAATAGCATCAAATTTTAGAATATGTTTGGATTTGTTCGATTCGTTCACTGAAATCGTCTCCCGCTGCCCGAAGGTTGCTCTGCGGTATTTTGGCCCATTCCTGGCGAATCGCTTGCTTGAGATGATCGACACTTTGGTATATTTTAGTACCAACCTTGCTTTCCAAAATACTCCAGACACAATAGTCCAACGGATTGGTATCCGGAGATTTTGGTGGCCATTGTGCGCTGGAAATGAAGCGAGAAACCTCATTTTGTAAACATTCTTGCGTGGAGCGTGCTGAATGCGATGGTGCTGAGTCCTTGACGTCGCGATAATATTCGGCATTTATTCTGATGCCACGGTCGATTAATACGAGCGGAGAGCAAACATCGGCTGTTATGGCGGTCCACACCATCACCATTGCTTGAGTTGTGGTGGCCAACCGAAGGTGCACATTTTCAGCTGACCTCTTTGGCAAGTAAACACGATCATTTCGTTTGTTTACAAACTGCTCATCGGAGAAAACAAAATTCGGCAGTTCACCACTATCGGCCAAGCGAATCAACTCTTTAGCTCTTTTGAGTCTATTTTCTTTTCGCGTGGCTTTACCCCGAGCTCATTTTTCAATATTTTCCGAATGGAAAATTGCGATATGTTCAGCTCACGAGCCATTTTTCGGCCACTGCGACGCGGGTTTCGATCAAGTCGTTACTTTACTTTTCGAACCATTTCTGCTGATGTTGCTGTTTTCTTCCGTCCAATTCCTTGACGTGGGGCTACGCTACCAGTATCACCGTAACGAGCGATGGTACGAGACACAAAATTTTTATTCACATTTAAATGCTGGAGTGCTCTAACAATAGCCCCTTGTGTTTTTCCAGCCAAATATAAAGAAATCATATCAATATCAAATATCACGCTTGAATTCCACCACGAATAACATTTTTCTGGAAAATTCTCTCCAAAATGCTTTTGTACGCTTGAAAACAATATAATGAGCTGTCACTGGAATAATTTTAACAGCTGTCGGACGAGTGGCTTAGAAATGATAGCAGTCTGAAGTAGGTTGCAGTTTTTTCATCTCATCCTGTATACATGTTCATTGGTCTTGTCAACTGCCTACTGTGACTCTGGTACGTAATCGCTTTCTTTTATTTATTTATATTAATTACACTTCCGTTGAATTCGTACAAATATTTTTCCTTTCCGGTCTGAAGTACGAATGAAAAATTAATTCCCTAAAAAATTTGTCATTACCTTAATTATTCGGTCCGGAAATGTGCCCTAAATTAAAGTAGCTTTTTATCAAAAGAGAACAATTTTTACAAAAAATCAAAAGATATTAGTAGACAAAGGGCGGAAATTTGTAGACAAATTGCAAACCACAAGTGTTTTTCAAGCATAGATAAAAATTTGTTATGACAAATTATTTTTATAATATTATTCTCAAGCTGTATTGTCGTTAAGTTTATTTTTGATGGGTTCCGTGATGAGTTGGGGCAAAGCGTCTTTTCGCTTTTCTCTTACCTCATTGTTTTTATGTGGTTTTCTGGCACCTTGGGAATCCTCATTCATGCGTATCAAGCCTTTGCGATGATCTTCTTTGTGGATTTTTAGTTTTTCTTCATTAACCGTAACATAACTGCATAGATCGCAAGCAATTTTCTTGTAATTCTCGGCATGATTTAAACGCATATGGTGCTTGAAAGCATTGGATTGTATGCACGAAAAGTCACACAGGGAACATTTCAACTTGGCCGATTCCCTATTGTGACGCATTTGATGTTTGTGCAAGACACTGGGGTCGCGTGTTGAAAATTTGCATGTTTTGCAATGCAAAGGTTTTTCACCCGTATGTTGGCGCATATGTATCTGCAAACATTAAAAACATATCCGTAGGGCAGTTAAAACTATGTTTATCAAAGACTAAAACTTAAAAACTAGAACTTACTATTAAGCTTGCCTTCCGTGACATTTTCTTGCCGCATACATTGCATATAAAGGGTTTTATTTTATTGTGAACGGTTTTGATATGCTTTGACAAGGTTTTTCCATTTACAAATTTACGTTCACATATTTCACATGTTTTCTCTGAATAGTATTTATTTTGTCGCACAACGGGTTTAGGTTTCTCCGTTTCCACAGCATTAGTAGCGGCAATTTGTGCTTGTTGCAAACGTTTACGCTTAACAGCTTTCAAGGATCGCATGACTCTGGGACGCCATTTTTTATGGACTCTCATGTGACGCCAAACTAAGGCTGAAAAAGGAATTCAAACGCATCAATTGTCAAAGAAATTGCCTTAGAAATTAAGTAATAAGCTACCAGAAGCATATGACTTAAATTCGCACACGGGACACTGGAGCAGGTCCACATCAATTTGATGGGATTTCCAAAGGTGTGCAGTACATCGTCTCCAGTTGTTTATGGACATGGCGCAAATATAACATTTAAATGTACACTTTCCCTGAACATGACATTTAACATGATTTTCCCGTCGTTCTTCATCAACAAATTTGTAAACGCAAGTCGCTGCGGCTGTACATTTGAGATTCATTCTTTGCCGCAAAATCAAGCGAAAATCTTTAAACGGCAATGGCTTGATTTCAGGACATATCCGGGTTTCTAAATTCGCTTCGGCCATTGTCATGGCTGGTTTTTCTTCCTTACAGTCTTCATTGTTCTCCAATTTCAATGTAGTGTCAGCTTTAGTTACTCGGTCTATGGGTACGCATTTATGATATTCGATCATGTGGCCTCTTAAATCTTCTTTTAAATCATACTGACGGAGACACAGCGAGCAAACAAATATAATACGAGGTGGTGGTTCAGGTTCTTGTGTATTCTGGTCACAATCATTACAAGTTTGCCCTTTTATATCTGGTGATTCGGGGCAGTATTCAATTAATGCATCCAAATCTTCCATAAGTTCTGTATCGTCGGCCATCGTTTACTAAAATAAACATTAAAGTTCGTTATAAACCAAATTAAAAAGTACTGTACAAAACATACACATATACAAATAGTTCAAGATTGAAATATAACTGAAACACCCTGTATGCCATAAAATACAAATACACATGTCACCCTTTGATATTCCCCTTTAAACATTGTCTAGATTTGATAACTTGTAAATTTCCAGTAATATTAGTTAAAATTCACCACACATACCCCTCCAGTAAGTTATAGTGAAATTACATGCACAGAAGATAACCCATAAACTTGTTGTTATTCCATAATTAAACACTTGTTAATAGCGACGACACGGAGAAGTAAACAATCCAATATAAACAAACAGCTGATGCATACTTAATAGAGTTGCCACACTTATTAATGACATCAAGTAACCATGCAATGATTTAGAACAAACAACGGATACTTTTAAAGAATTAAAGCAATGCTTACAACGAATCGTTTTTTATTTTCGAATTAAAATATTAATCAATGGTGAAATTAAAAAGGTTAAGTCATGCAATCTTATCTTAACAATTTCTTTTTAATATTATTCATTTGACAACATCTCGTTGTCAAAATTTATATTTATAAATCCATTGTATACACAGAAATGAGAGATGGGAACCTCATTTATATCGACTAAATTTTGACAAGGTATATAACAGAAAATGCAAAGATGGAAATACTTAATTGAAATGAATTTACCTTCTTAATTCTGCCATGTATTAATAATTTTATTTTTTTAATTAAGGATTTTTTTAAATTCCAATGCCCTTGTATGAAGTATAAGCTATTTTTATTTAAAGTTTCTATTTTCCGAATTTCGTAGATTTAAACATAATTTAATGGAAGTCCTGCCCGAAATAAAAAATTGTGTTCAAAGACAAACTAAAATATTTTTTGAAAAAGTCTGACAATTTTGTGTTTCTTTTATAGTTTTGTAAGTTTTGCTTTTTTAACCTCCGTAGTAAAAATTAAGCAGTTTTACATTTAAATTCAATTAATAATTTATATTTCGTTCATTTGTCGCTCCTTTATTCGTTTGGTTATTCTGCTCTTCTGATTTTTGATATCATAGTAGAATTAAGAATGTAACCCTGCGCAATCGTATATTAATAATTTTCAGGAACTCCCATTGCAGATATATTTGACAAGCTGAATTACAGAAATGAGACTACCTTAGTAAGAGACTACCATGGTAGAAGAATATAGGTAGATGCATCGACGCTTGGGAACATTGATATGTCAAAATTTTTAAAATTTTTTTATGAAAGATAACTGGATTTTTAAATGTTTTTTATACGAGCCAATCAGAGGTTGTTATAAAATGAATTTTTCAAAGATTTTTACAATTTTATTCTACCATGGAGACTACTTTAAAATAATTGTACCATGATATTTAAAAAAAATGGTTGTATGTAGACAATACTCTTGCAGGGCTAAAGTAATTAGTTGGATCTAAATTTAAAATAATTTGAAATTATTTTTTTAATTGAAAACAATACATACATATACAGGGTAAGATAAAAAAACTGCAACAAAGTAAAAAGCCACATTTTTTACATTTTTTAAAATTTATTGTATGAGAGCAAAAAATGTCGGAAATAGCATCAAATTTTAAAATAAGTTTAGATTTGTTCGAATTGGTCACCTTTGGCACGAATTATGGTCTCCAAACGGCCAATGAAACACGCTGCCCGAATGTTGCTCTGCGGTATTTTGGCCCATTCCCGGCGAAGCGCTTGCTAGAGGCGATCGACACTTTGGTATTTTTTAGTGCCAACCTTGCTTTCCAAAATACTCCAGACACAATAGTCCAACGGATTGGTATCCGGAGATTTTGATGGCCTTTGTGCGCTAGAAATGACGCGAGGAATCTCTTTTTGTAACCATTCATGAGTGGCGCGTGCTGAGTCCTGTTGGAATGTCCAAGGTCTGCGGCCAAAATGTTTGCGTGCCCAAAGGTTTTATTACACTCTCCAGAATATTTTCGCGATAATATTCGGTATTTATTCTAATGCCAGGGTCGATTAATACGAGCGGAGAGCGACCATTGGCTGTTATAGCGGTCCACACCATCACCATGGCCGGCGCTTGAGTTCTGGTGGCCAACCGAAGGTGTACATTTTCAGCTGATCTCTTTGGCAAGTAAACACGATCATCTTGCTTGTTTACAAACTGCTGGACAGCGAATGTTTTCTCATCGGAGAAAACCAAATTCGGCAGTTCCCCCTATTCGGCCAAGCGAAGCAACTCTTTAGCTCTTTTGAGTCTATTTTCTTTCTGTTGCGGTGTAAGTTCTTGCACTTTTTTATACCTTCAATCAAGGTAGATTATGTTCTACTAAAGCTTAAATATTAGTCTTCTAAGTAATGAGAGACTTGAATTTGAAATGGTCGTATTTTGCTTCAGTGCGTCTTTATTTTGTTGCAGATGATAATTATCCTAGGGTTCATGACACTTTTAACATTTTAGAATGGCGCAACTTAAATATTTCACTCATACCCCTAATACGGTATAGATGACATCTGTTGTTCCGAACAAATTCAATGATAAGCGATTAGAGTATTTGTTCAGCTATAATCCCATTGATAGTAATTGTGCTGTGTAAAAAAATGCAAATTTTTGCCGAAGTGAACATAACATTCAGTTGAGCGCCGTCGTTCTTAAAAATAAACAAATAGGTAAGCCGAACGCTTTATACTCTACACCATCTTGAAGGGATTAAAATAATTGAAAAAAAAAAATCGTCGAAAAATAACGCTAAACTAAAAATTGTAATATGGGGCCTATTCGAAGTCATGGTCCTGTCATAGGATGTAGTACCGATTCCGAACTTCAAATACGAAATTTTAAACAATTCCGGTGAATATTGTCGCTAAAATCATTAAAATACCGTATATCTAGGGGTACCCTTATATAGGTGCTATACTAACACGTTAACCTATGTAGACAATTCTCTTCCAGGGGGTAGAGTACTCACAAATAACTCCTTGTGTAAAAGCTTCCCTTGAAAAATGTGGCTAAAATCATCAAAATACCGAATATAGGGGGTGAGGCACGATACGTGCACCGATATAGCCCATCTTCAAACTTGACCTGGATGCAGACAAAAGACTGATCTGTGCAAAATTGTAGGTTCCTATTTTAATTCGTTTTTGAATCTAGCGTGATTAAAACAGACGCATAGCGCTAAATCGTCTTAGAATTTTACGCTGATCAAGAATATATATACTTTGTTGAGTCTAAAATTATTATTTCGATGAATTACACACGGAATGACGAACTTAATATACCCTCCATACTATGTATGGTGGAGGGTATAAAAACATTTTTTTGTGTTATGGGGTACGTCATATTTAAGTAGCCATACTCGTACTCACAATTAAATCTTATGAAATTGATAGAAAAATAAACAAGTAAAAAAACTTATTGTTCGGCCGGGCCAAACTTTTAATACCCTCCACCTTAGGGTAAAGGAAACATTAAAAGAAATGTGGCAAAAATCATTAAAATGTCGAATATCGGGAGGTACCATTATATGGGGGCTATACCAAATCGTGGATCAACACATGTAATGTTTCGCCAAAGGAGCTAGAACCCATTATAACCTACAAATACAAATTTTCAGAAAAATCCGTAAAAAATTGTGGCAAAAATCATCAAAATACCGAATATCGGGAGTTACCTTTATATGGGGTCTTTACCAAAACGTGGACCGATATCACAATACCAACCATCCTAGACACAATACAAATTGCTCTGCTAAATTTTGGCGCTCTACTTCAAATAATGTGGGCTATATCGTGATTTCAACAGACAGTCAGACAGACGGACATCATTAAATCGACTTAGAATTTTATGCTGATTATGAATATATACTTTATGGGGTCTACGACGAATATTTAAGGATGTTACAAACGGAATGACAAAGTTAATATACCCTTCTTTCCAAGGTGGAGGGTATAAAAAGCTGATTATAAAATAATATCTGAGCTTTGAATTGGGTTAGTCTGCCTACAGTTCGCTTACCAAATACATTCAATTAAAAAGTAAAGTGCTTATAACATAATTTTAAAATTATCACCTATCAAAAAAATAATAATAATAAATTTGAAGAAAGGATATATCATGGCAAATGCAAAATTAGAAAAACGCGAACATAAATATCATTGCAATAATGAACATTTACGTGGAGTTGAAGCGGAGATCCAAGCATCTCAGAAAGATGCTTTTTTCCGCGAAGAGGAAACGGTTCTTTTTTCATTCCATGATGGAATATTTAGTGACTCCTCTACTCCGGACAACTCGAATTTGACAGAGAGTATTGACAACAATATTGGCATGATGTCTCCAGGGATAGCCGGTATAACTAGAGAGTTGGTAAAGGCCGTGTGTGGAGGTATGACGAAGTATCTGAAAACTGTGTTTGTCAGGTATGTACAACTGATGACTTAAGTGTAAGTACATAAGAAGCTTGAAGTCATGGCTAGGCATCATGGTAGAAGAATATAGGTAGATGCATCAACGCCTGAGAACATTGATGTGTCAAAAATTTTAAAATGTTTTGTCCAAATTGAGTAGATTTTTATATCTTTTCTTATATGAATTTTTCAACAATTGTTACAAATTTTAATAAGTTTTTATTCAACATTTTCAATTTCAAAATCGGTTTGACAGTTCATTGTCCCAGCAGGTGTGTCGATGCGTCTACTTACATTCTTCTACCATGATTCATACACAAATCAGAGATGGGAACCTGCTTTCGATGCAGTGAAATTTGACAATCTCAATTACAGAAAATGCAAGGATGGGAATATTTATTTAAGTTGACTTTACTTTCCTAATTTTACCATGGGTATTGCTGAAAATATTTTTTCTTCCAATACCAAAAAAGTCTTTGAAACCATGAGTTAAAGCCGAGAATATACGACGTATGACCTAAAAATATTTTTAATAAAATTATGCAGAAAAAAAGTTTTTTTTTATAAAATATGTTAACAGCTACTACCTAGTCAATATGTCTTGGGATACTCCGATATTATAAATTTATTTCAATTTATTCATTGTGTTTAAGTTGTTTAATTAAATTTATGTATATTTTATTTTTTCTCTTTACAATTTAGATATTTCCGTCCTCAGAGGCACGAAAAAAACATCAATCATACATTGCTTAAATTGTTAATCCTTCTGATGTTCATGATGTGGCTTATCCCGGACGCCGATGGCTTTTTACATTTAAGAAAGAATTGCAAGTGTGTCTTGAAGATCACCGGACGATGCATCAGAAATGAACTGTGTGAATAATACTTACAAAGCATGGAAAATCCATTGACTAATTAAGCTTCAAAGGAGTCCACAAAGAATAATGCCAAAGAACAAATTATGCCGAGAACGACAATCATGAAACTGAAAATTATTTATGGAATTAAAAATTCTTGAATGTCCATAAATGAAAAATGAAATTTTTATATAAAATGTAAATGTACTCAACGCTTAGTTGGTTTTTATTTCAAATTCTTAAGGAAAGGTTATTATCATGATTCAATAAGAAAGGTTACTCAACTTTAAAGAAACTACAAAAATGCAACTCTGTGCTGGAGTCCTATAGTGTCAAATAGACTTAAATATGCAACAGTTTGGTTTGGTTTTTTTTACAAAATTCTTATATTGGGGAAAATCACCCGAAATAAGAATGGAATTTTGGAGTTATTTCACAAGATTGAATATATAATAGAAGGAAAATACAGTTTTATCCCAAAATTGTACAATGCGTTGCCCAAAAACGTCGAAAATATGCATTTATTTTCCAACCGAATTTGAAATAATTTCAAATTATTGTATATTTTATTTAAAACAATACATACACTAAATGTGTATATGTGTTGACAGAATAAGGGCACCAAAAGAAAAGAATTGTATTTGGGGTGTAGCTTTGTTTTTCCTTCTGTAATTATGCCATGGGTTGACCCGCCGAATCTGTTAAACCCAGTGGTTAATCTACAGTCTAAATGTACTATTCCTTGTACCATGGTGTGTTTAAATTCCAAAGATGGGCGATTGAACAGCACAAATTTAACGCCGTCGTAAGAGTTGTTATATCTGTCAATTTTAGACGGCGTAAATCGGATAAAACCAACTCTGCCTTGTCTGCTCTGTTTTCGCCTTTTGTCTTTTGTTATAGATCGAAAACAAATATTTAATATAAATTATTAAGTAATTTAATTAAATGATTGTACATTATTAAGCAGGACTAATTGTGAGATTTGTGTAGAATAATTTTAATAACACCAGGCTCCCTAAAGCTGCAATATCAGTCTCATTGCAGAGTCGGCATACATTGCATTCTGTGCAAATTGCCTCCCTCTCACCTTCCTTTAAAATTTGCAAATTATTTTAAACATCCACAAGCCACAAGGAAAAGTATGGTTAATGGTTAAAACATACTACTTAATATTTGGGTGATTTTTTCGTCGAATCAAGTTCAAATCGAATTGAAAAGAATATTGAGAACTACAAGAAATGGCAAGCGCTTTGGAAAACTTCGTTAATAGTGTGAGGAGTCTGAGTTCGTCAGGTAAGTTATGCTAATCTCTGCACCACCATTTTTGGTGTATGTGATAAAGGAAGTTCCAATTTACTGTCGTTCTGTTCTAATAGGTGCCTTTGAAGACTTGGCAACTCAACTGCTAGATTCCACTGAAATTTTATCTAAAAACTGGAATATTCTCGACAATGTCCTGGAGACGTTGGATGTGCAACAGCATTCATTGGGTGTTCTGTATGTGTTGTTGGCGAAATTTAATAGTTTGCAGGTGCGTTCTAAATATTTAAAATTTTAAGAAAAATGTATGGTTATTTGTTTCATTACAGAGCTCAAATGCCGATATTCAAGTTTTGCTGAAATCTGTCAAAGACTTTATACAACAATGCAATACCTATCAAGTGCGTTTGGCGGCACATGCATGTGAGTATATAAAATTTTGTGATTTTCACTAAGACGTAAATGATTCAAGATGCTGATGTGAAAGGTTGGGCTGTGCCAGACATATTACTATCATCATATAGTAGAAATAAATTAATCATAAGTCTTGCATTTCCAAGTGACAGGCTTTAGATCGAGATAGACACCACCCCTAGAGTGTTCCCAACAAATTTGTGCAAACAAATGGCTTTGAAACTACATTTTTTGGCTCTTCCAAATTAAGTTGTTTTCGTTAAAAATTGTGTTAATCTTAAAAATACCGAAAGTAGCCGTTTTATTACGGTCTATACAACGACGTGGACCTGCATAGGCAAGTTTTACCATTAGCCATTACAATATTCAAATGCGAAACTTGAAAAAAAATCGGTGAATGAGTATGCCGCTAAAATCATAATACAGAATATCAGGAGATACCGTTATGTGAGGGATATACGATGATGTGGACCCGTGGAATATCCATGACGAACTTCAAATACCAAATTTGAAACAATTTCGGTGAATAATGTCGCTACAATCATCAGTATACCGGATATCGAGAGGTGCCGTTATATGGAGGTTATACGAAACCGTGGACCTCCGCGGACAATTTTCTATTATATGCTGTTGTATCCATTACGAACTTCAAATACCAAATTTGAAACGTTTCCGGTGAATAATGTTGCTACAATCACTAAAATACCGAAAATAGGGAGGTAGGATTATATGGGGGCTATACCAAAACGTTGACCTACATGAACCATTTTCAATACCTAAAGTCCTGCAGACATAATATACATTTGAGTAAAATTGTATCAACCTACTTTATTTCGTTCGGAAGCTAGAGTGATTTCCACAGACGGATGGACGAACGACATAGAATTTTATGCTGATCGAGAATATATATACTTTGTGAGGTCTAAAAAATATATTTCGAGGTGTTACAAACGGAATGACAAACTTAATATACCCTCCATACTATGGTGGAGGGTATAAAAAGATAGGAAACTTACATCTCAAGAATTGTGGCAGTTTGGCAATTTGCATTGACCTGATCCACACCTGCATTTGTTTCAGAAATATGAAAAATTTTCTGTGAGTACCTATGTCAATTTTTAATTTCTTACTATTCTTCTTATATTTTAGATTACGAACTCTGTCATCAGTTCACAAATGTAATGGTAGGTCAGCCTCGCTGCATTCTAGGTCTTACAACACTGTCCGCTGCCATTGATAAAATTCGCACATCCGATACTCAACTTACCCCCATACATGCTGACCTTTGTCAACTAAGTCTTAAATCGAAGTGTTTTCGTGTAGCTTTGAAATACTTAGATGTTGATATAACAACTATATCAACAGGTGCTGAAACCAGAGGACAAAACCAAACGGTAAAAGTAAAACAATAATTCATTATATTAAACTAATATTCACATACCAAACAAACAAATTTTGTATTTTGTATTTTTGTATTAATATAGGATACGACCAACAATGACGCCAAATACTTCTTACTTTACTACTACTATGGTGGCATGATTTACACTGCTATGAAAAATTATGAGAGGGCATTGTATTTCTTCGAAGTCTGTATATCAACACCTGCCATGGCTATGTCCTACATTATGTTGGAGGCATACAAAAAATTCATATTGGTATCATTGATATTGCACGGAAAGGTACGTAATTATAATCAGAATGTAATGCGACATTTATATATTTTAAATAAATTACAGATTCAACCTATACCAAAATATGCATCTCAAGTTATTTCACGCTTTATGAAACCAATTGCTCAGGTGTATCATAATTTAGCTGTAGCATATGCCACCACATCCAGTGAAGAAGTAAGAAACTGCATCAGCAAATATAGCGAAACATTTGTACGTGATAACAATATGGGCCTAGCCAAACAGGTAAGGTCATGCGAGTTTTTTGCTTACACTCAATTTGATTGATACATTTTTATCTAACAGGTTGCCACTTCGTTGTATAAGAAAAACATACAGAGACTTACAAAGACATTTTTGACATTATCCCTGACTGATGTTGCTAGTCGTGTCCAATTGCCATCAGCAGCTGTTGCTGAAAAGTATATTTTCAACATGGTATACATAATTTTAAATACACATATATTGTTTGCATTCTTATGAGTTTCTGTGCATTTAGATAAAATCTGGTGAAATTTATGCTACCATCAATCAAAGGGATGGCATGGTTGTCTTTAAAGATGATCCTGAAAAATATAACTCAAATAAAATGTTTCTTAATATTCAAGAAGACATGGAACATGTAATGGGACTGGTTAAACAAATTAATAAAATGGAGGAGGACATCATATTGAATCCGATTGTAAGCACTGATTTTACTCCGTGAAAAATATTTCTATTAAATGCCATTTTTGTATTTACAGTACATAAAAAAAGCTGTTGGAAATGCAGATGACGATTTGGCGTCTCAAAATGCAAAGTCCTTTGCTGGGTATGCGTTATGTTTGTTTAATTTGTTGAATACATTAATAAATTTACTTTTTTTTGGCAGTGATCCAATTGATTGATGATATCACATAGAAAAATATTTCAAACTATTCAATAGCTTTGATATGCTCTCACATCAAAAGCGTACTGTGCAGTTCATTTGTCATCTTCAACAAAATGCTCGAATGAGTTTCTTCCTCATTGTTTAAGGATAAGAACATTCGAAAATACAAATTTCATCGCTATAGTAAAATCAATAAACAGCACCGAACCACTGTGGCAAAATTAATCACAACTAAACAACTACTTTGCCTACTGAACATTATTATGAATAATTGTTTTTAAAAGAAAAAAGAAAATAAATAAACATAAACGCAGAAATACTAAGATTCTCTATTGTAATGCTGCATAAATGGAGGGGATTAAAACAAACCATATATGTGTGGTATACGTATATTCTTGATGAACGTAAAATAATGCATTAAGGCGACATCACAGGGTGAGATAAAAAAACTGCAACAAAGTCAAAAGGCATAATTTTTACATTTTTTTTTATTTTATCGAATGAAAGAAAAATATGTCTGAAATTGCATCAACTTTTAGAATGACTATCGGATTTTATGGCGGCTCACACAATCACCATGACCGGCGCTTGAGTTCTGGTGGCCAACCGAAGGTGCACATTTTCAGCTGACCCCTTCGGCAAATAAACACGATCATTTTGTTTGTTTACAAACTGCTGGGCAAGGAATGTTTTCTAATCTCATCGGAAAAAACCAAATTCGGCAGCTCACCACTTTCGGCCAAGCTCTTTTGAGTGTATTTTCTTTCTGTTTCGGAATTTCAATGGGTTTGGGATTTCAATGTGTTTTCCCCGAGCTCATTTTTCAATATTTGCCGAATGGAATATTGCGATATGTTCAGGTCACGAGCCATTTTTTGGTCAATCTGATTTTTGGTCTGCTGATGTTGCTGTTTTCTTCCGTCCACGTCCTTGACGTCGGGCTACGCTATCAGTATCAAGGCAACGAGCGATGGTACGTGACACAAAAGATTTATTCACATTTAAATGCTGGAGTGTTCTAACGATAGCCACTTGTGGTTTTCCAGCCAAATATAAAGAAATCACACTATCACGCTTGAATTCCATCATCAATAACTTTTTTCTGGAAAATTCTAACCAAAATGCTTTTTTACGCTTGTAAACAATATAATGTGCTGTTACTGGAAAAATTTGAACAGCTATCGGACGAGAGGCTTAGAAATGACAGCAGTTGGTTGCAGTTTTTTCATCTCACCCTGTATTGTTTATGTATATTTTGTTAAGTGATGGTAAGCAACGTGTGCAAGAAAATGTTTGTCCGTCTTCATTTCTGTTTTCCCATTTTATTTTTTGGCTAAAACGTAATTTTTCTACCGAATATATTTGATAACTGAATTAAGTGGTTCAATTGGTATGCATGGCGTTCTTAACTTTTTTTCATAATCAAATTCTCGCCTTGCCAAAAATAAAACAATTGTTTTTTTTATTATTAATATATTGATTTTATCAAAGAGATTCAATTAAAATCATACCACCTTTTCACAATCAACAAAAAATTCTTTTTATCGGAAATGGTTGGCCTAATCATATGGCTTTAACCACACACAAACCTGGGGGACCACCATACTTACCCAAGTCAATATCACGCCATTCGTTATGCACTTTAAGGTGATAAGAAATATTAATCAAGCGATTTGTTATTAACTCTTGCAATGGTTTAATTTTACCATCATATTTTTGTGACAGCGAAGTAAATAAATTAGTGAAGTAAATAAACAACATGCAGTTACCATGCGGTAAAAAAGTTACAAATTTTATTTGATGTAATTAAAAAAAAAAAAAAATAATACCTAACACTTTAAATACATATTGCTTTTGATATTCATGCAGTCCACAGCAAACAAATGCGAATGTATTGGAATTTGTGGTACTAATCTATAGTTTTGCAAAATAATCATAGTAAAGTGCTAAAAGATTTTACTTTTGATTGATTGATTACTCGTCATATCTGTTCTACAGATTATAAAATGTTTGTGAAATTTGATTTAACATCGATAAGATCTACACCAACGGAGATAATATCAATGGAACATAGTTAGCTAGTTAATTGGGAGTATGAGGAATAGGATAGATAATATTTTCATTGTGGCAATAGACATGGTTTCCAACGAATTAGGTTTGCCACCAAATAAAAAATGAAAACTATTTGCGGTGAATTAGGCTTTTGTAAAGGGTTTGGTTCGTAAAATGAAGGAATTTGTTTTCGATTAGTAACGGTCTTTATTATACGCTCAGCCATATGACTAGAGAGGGTATATATTATTTGATACGGTCAAAACGTGCTTAGTCGAAATATAGGTCGAAATTTTGAATATCCATTAAGCTAATTAAACGCAAAATTAACATCCGATTCCATTCAGACTTGGAATATCTGAATATTTCCATCAACACAGGTTCTGTTTTAAAAAACGGTAGAAATCGGACCATTCCTTTTGGTACCTCCCCCACAAAATGTCAATATTTTCATAGAAAAATAATTTTCTGCACAGTAACATTGCAAATCCTAATATTTGCGTCAGTCCTAAGTCAGGTGCGAAAATGGACAATATCGGTCCACTCCATCAAGTACCCCCCCACAAAGGGACAAATTTTTGAATACAAAAAAAATTGAATTTGGACAAAAATTTGAATAAAACTCTTATAAAGTGTGATATAAGAATCCGATTGTCTTCAAATTTCACACATTACAATTTTTTCATTAACCCAAGGTCTGGTGTTAAGATGAAATACATCGGTCCACTCATTCTGGTACCTCCCCCACAAAAGTTTGAAATTTTGGACAAAACAAATATTTATTTCGTGCACAGAAAGAGAAACGATAATCCTAATATTTGCGTCAGTGCGTCAGTCAGGTCAAGTACCTCCCCTACAATAGGGGTCAACATTTTGAATAATTATAACTCTTATAAAGTGTGATATAAGATTGTCTTCAAATTTCACACATCCCAATATTTTCATTAACCAAAGGTCTGGTGTTATGATGAAATATACCGGCCAACCCCTTCTGGTACCTCACCCACAAAGTTTCACAATTTTCAATACTTTTATCTGTCATAACTTGCGAAACAAGTCAGCGATTCTTTACAACTTGCTATATCTAAATATTTTTCTCAACCAGATACCTGAGGGCTATATCGGCCCATGACATCATAGTATGGCCAACATACAATTTCGCCTGTATTCTCGCAAAAGAGTATAAAACTAACTTACTCAGAATGAAGCTGCTGGACAATTCCTACATGAAACGTAAGCAGACAGACCCATTATATTATGATTTTCATTTAAAATTAAAAAAAAATTGTTGTTTTAAATTTTAAAATTCAAGACCATTTTGTAAACTGGTAGATGCAGTTCGATAAAATCATTAATGAATAAACCATTAATTTTTGTTTTTTTTCGCAATATTTTTTCTTGCGCCACAAAAACCGGTTGGAATAAGCAAATGACTTTTTTTTTTGATTTTTAATGAAAACCAAAATATTTGTACGTAAATTTAATTGATGTAATTTTTATCCCCCACGTGTGTACCTTAGTAATGAAGTTATAACTATTACATGAAAAAGCAACAATTATCAGCACGTTTGGTTATTTGCGATCATTTGTGTAAATTGTTACTGGATGTTGGGTAAGACTTTTTAATTAATATTTTGAAATAATTTTTACTAGGTCGACTTCAGGCTTTGCTTGAAAAAACTGAAGTTCATCCAAAAAAAAAAAAAAAAATAATAAATAAATAAATAAGTAAAAATAAACTGTAAATTTTGTTAAAGTCTTAAAAATATGGAATATAGCCGTAATATTAGGGACTTTACGACGACGTGGACCTGTATAGGCAATTTCTGTCATAAGGCATTAAAATAAATGTCGCTAAAATCATCAAAAATACCGAATATAAGGAGGTACCATAGGGGCTATACCAAAACTTGGACCTGCGCAGACAATTTTCTGTAATAGGCTGTGGTATCCATTACGAACCTCAAATACTAAATTTGAAACATTTCCAATGAATAATGTCGCTTAAATCACCAAAATACCGAAACTAGGGAGGTATCGTTATATGAAGACGTGGACTTTTACAGACAATTTTCTGTCATAGGCTGTAGCATCCGTTAAGAACTTCAAATACCAAATTTGAAACAATTCCGGTGAATAATATCGCTAAAATCACGCTATCTTTTGCACACATATTCGGTATTTTGATGATTTCAGAGATATTATAGATTGGAATTGTTTCAAATTTCATATTTGAAATTCAAAATCGGTACTACAACCTTTGACCGAAAATTATTTATGCAAGCCCACATCATTCGGTAATTTGATAATATTAGCGACATTATTCAACGGAATTGTTTTAAATTTCGTATTTGAAGTTCGAAATGGGTACTACAGCCTACTGCAAAAAATTGTCTATGCAGGCCCACATCTTCGTATAGCCTCCATATAACGTTATATCCCTATATTCTGTATTTTGATGATATTATTGACATTATTCAACGGAATTGTTTCAAATTTTCTATTTGAAGTTCGTTACAGCAACTACAGCCTCTGACTGAAAATTGCTTATGCAGGGCCGCGTCATATAGCCCTCATATAGTAATATTCATTTAAGCAGTAAGTTCATACCAAATAGTGGAGGGTATAAAAACTTCGTCCCGGTCCGGCTTTTTTTATTTGTTCTTAAATTATTATTTACATACATGTATGTATGTATGTACGCTTGTGAGCATTTATATCCGATAATTAAAAGTTGGAAAGCGTACAGTATTTCTTTGTTTTGTTTTTTATCCATCCATATTCCTGCAGATATAAGTTCTATATTTAGCTGCATTCAAATGGATATTTAATGCAAAATTCTGTAGGAATTGTATGTGGACTGCATGAATATATAATATTATATGTTTTCAATTACGTATTCATTTTGAATAAAATTTCTTTGGCATTGATTATATAACCTGCGCATATACATACATACATATCTATGTACATGTTATGTACGATTCTTCGGATTTTCCATGGTGCAATTTTATAGTGTGCCCCGATAATTGCAGCACTTTCTAATGATTTTGATTTTGAAAAGAGGAGAAGAAAAAGCTTAAGTTATACTTGTGAAAAATGTTGCTTTGGGCACGCAAACATTTTGGCTGTAGACCTTGGACATTCCAACGGGACTCAGCACCATCGCACTCAGCACGCGCCACCCAAGAAATTTGATGCTATTTCCGACATTTTTTGCTTTCATTCAATAAAATTAAAAACAAGTAAAAATTATGGCATTTGACTTCGTTGCAGTTTTTTTTTATCTCACCCTGTATACCCACATTACAATCTTCGATGTTGGATGAAATCTTTAAAATATCTCAGCCACTTTCTGTAATTTGATATGGTACTTAATAATATTAATGCGATTTCAATACCACCTCCAAAACATCATGAATATTTCAAATAACATATATATGTGTGAGTGTGTTTGCATACACAAATCTGCAGCTTAATAAAACAAATTTGCATGTTTATTTAATTAAACCTTGCCCTCTATAACAACGGATTCATTCTCTTCCAAAAGAGAAAAAAAAAAACAATAATGAAAGGTATTCGTTAAATTTAGTATACAACAATATTTTTAATAAAATTTTATTATTGTTATTTTTAAAACAAAACAACAGCGTCTTTTTTCTGTTCGGTTGATATAATGACAACAATTAATAATAAAAGATACATACAAACATGCGAATATAAATATAATATTAAATTACAACGTTTATTCTTTGAGAAAAATCTCGAATTTAAAACAAACAATTTATCGCGTTGTGTTCAGCCCAAAATATGTACAGAAGAGAACGAGAGATTGAGGGTATTTATTAAAAAAGTGTATTTGTTTTGCTACATAACTTTATAATATGATTTTTTTATCTAGAGCAGAATTCCGGCAGATATGATGACAAAGGTGCAAATTAATTCAATAATAGAAAAAATTCCATTGTGTGAATGGCGATGTGTCTTCGTTTCTTTGTTTATCTCAAATCAGGAAAATAATAAAAATAATGTATTTTTACAACAACAAAAATGTATCGCTTTGGAACCATCTTTTTTTGGTAATAAAATTTATGCCGTAAGGCGGAACTACTAATAGGTGTGTCTGATTATCCTAAAATTTGTAACAATTGTTGCCAATTTTTTCCGAAATCTGTTAACACAAAAGTTCTGCTAAAGACATGTAGCGATGTCCGTCCGTCTGTGGAAATCACTCTAGCTTCCGAACGAAATGAAGTAGGTTTATAAAATTTAACGCAAATGTATATTATGTCTACAGGATTTTTGGTATAGAAAATTGGTCATGTAGGTCCACGTTTTCGTATAGCCCCCATATGACGGCACCTCCCGATATCCGATATTTAAATGATTTTAGCGACATTATTCATCGGAAATTTGTAACAATTGTTGCCAATTTTTACTGAAATCTGTTAACACAAAAGTTCTGCTAAAGACAGACAATTTTTACAAATTTAAATAATTTTTCATTCAACATTTTCAATTCCAAAATTGGTTTGACAGTTTTCTTGCCAAAGAGAATAAAACTACTTTACTCTCTTAGCAACTTCTTTGCTGGACAATTCTTGCAGGAAAGGTAATCAGACACACCTAATACATCGTTTCTATACATTTTTATTTTAATTGTCAATTTTAATTTTAAATACAATGATATTCAGTCTTTGTGTGTAAAACGTCAGATGCCAAAATACGTAAAAAGTAAATATTTTCAGTGCAATTCAAATTTTCAACAAACACATTTACTGGTTGTTTGTGGATGAAATAATCTATGAGTTCATTGACGTTGTTGGGTCGTTTAATTACTTTTGAAAGTGTGGCCATTAACATTTACTAAATATAGAATTTGCATAGGTACTATTTTTATATAAATTTGGTTTTTTTAGATGTGCCTTCCTCGCCTCTCTCTTCTGATATTGGTGTCTGAACACAAGAGCTACTTAAATCTAAACATGTGTAAACTAGTATTTTTGATATTTACAAATTTTGTTTTTTTTTTAGGCGTAGCTATGTTAGGCTTCTATTTTTGTTTGGCATAGTTTTACTTCGAAGCAGAACACTGTCTGTCTGTCTGTCATTAGTACGCCTCCATATCACAGGCATTGCTACAATGTAGGTGCAGCCGACGTCTTGTAGGTATGGCAGATAAATTATCATAATACTGGACCACAAATTTGCCTTGGTAGTTATTTGATGAACACAAATCTTGAATGGGCCCCACCTCCTGCGTAAAACCAAAACAACTATGACCCGATGTCATTGCTCCAACTGAGGTATGTGATGCTGCTGCTGCTGTTGCATTTCGTAGTTTGTACACAGCATAGGCCAAATAGCAGGGTTCCAATGTAACAATAATTCTTAAAGCTATAAACAATATAGTTATACATTTATGTTTGATGATGTCTTTTTCGTGACTTAATAACTTCTTAAGCAAAACGCTAAAAGATCCCTGTAATTTGATCCCTTTAGAAATACAATTTACAATAATTGCCTTCGCCTAGACTACATGAATTAACCTGTTTTGGATTTTCTTGCAATTGGTCCAGTGACTAATGAACTAGATTTGGCCATCTTTTTGATGCCCTGCGATATTTTCGATGTTGATGACGACGCTGAAGACAACTGGGCCACCGGCAAATTATCATATATGGTCACGTAGATTTTATGACTGACATAGATCACAATAAAGCCCAGTATCACCACCAACAGTGATATGAAGGTGTAGGCCAATATCGTTGGAATATAAACCAAAAACATTTTCACAGCAATTTGTAGCAATTCTCTCCTCTGTTTTTGACTGTTAATTCAGAATTTCTTCTTTTTATTTTGGCTGGGTTTTCACTTCGTTTCCAATATGTATTTAAATTTAACTATTTGTCAAAATGGGTATGCAAGCAAGAATTTTATAATTTTATTCACTTTGATCGAAAGTTGAACTAAATTTTTGTTGTTTCGTTTGTGTTTTGCTTTGTCGTTCAGCTCCGATTAATTTTAATTAAGAATAGCGTTTTTTGTACCACTCGACTCGACTAGCAGACAGTAACTTTGGGGATACAACTGAAAATAAAAGTAAGGCACCGGTGCTGCTTTGCTTTGCTGTTTTTGTTGCTGACGTTTGTCGTTTATCTAGCTCGCTCGAATGAAATGCGTTTTGTTCCACGCTCTCTCTCTCTCTTTGGAGTTCTCTTGGTTTGTTATCAGTGGCGTCTAGGGTACAGCCAAAGAAAAATGTTTTTTAATGCGGCTATTGCATATTTTTATAGCCTCCACCCATGGTACAATAATTATTTTTATTTTCTTGGCTTAATATGTCAACTTTATTTGTTTATGTATGTGTATTCTTTTCAAAATAGAAAATTGTTCAGATAATATTCAAATTCGGTGTTTTCAAATGATTTTTGTAACGTATTTTTCTACAAAATCCATAGTTTTTGTATCGAAAAAACCCTTTAGAGATATATAGAACATAATTTTGAAATTTTGACGTTTTATTCAGATTTCGCGGTTTTCAATTATTTATTCAAAATCAATGTAATAATTTTTTTTGGTTTTTTCATTGTTTTGATAGTAATTTTGACATTACAAACCAAACAGGTAGATCTCTATACTTGCAATTTTTTCAAAGTTAGCGTACCTTGTCTTCATTGTACCATGCCTCCACCAAAATGGAGTTTGTAACACCTCGAAATATATATTTTAGATCCCACAAAGTGTATATATTCTTGATCAACATAAAATTCTATGTCAATTTATCGATGTCAGTCCGTCTGTGAAAATCACTCTAGCTTCCGAACGAAATAAAGTAGGTTGATAAAATATATATGTATATTATATCTGCTGCAATTTTGGCATTGAAAATGGGTCATGTAGGTCCACGTTTTGTTATAGCCCCCATAAAACGGTACTTACCGATATTCGATAATTTGATGATTTTAGCGACATTATTCACCGAAATTGTTTCAAAATTTGATATTTGAAGTTCGTAATGGATACTACTGCCTACGACAGAAAATTTTCTGTGCAGGTCCACACCTTCGTATAGCCCCCATATAACGGTACCTCCCGACATTCGGTATTTTGATGATTTTAGCGACATTATTCACCGGAATTGTTTCAACTTTGGTATTTGAAGTTCGTTCAAATTTGGTATTTGAAGTTGACATAAAATTGTCTGTGCAGGTCCACGTCTTCGTATAGCCCCCATATAACGGTACCTCCCGATATTCGATAATTTGATGATTTTAGCGACATTATTCACCGAAATTGTTTCAAAATTTGATATTTGAAGTTCGTAATGGATACTACTGCCTACGACAGAAAATTTTCTGTGCAGGTCCACACCTTCGTATAGCCCCCATATAACGGTACCTCCCGACATTCGGTATTTTGATGATTTTAGCGACATTATTCACCGGAATTACTTCAAATTTGATAATTGAAGTTCGTTCAAATTTGGTATTTCAAGTTAACATAAAATTGTCTGTGCAGGTCCACGTCTTCGTATAGCCCCCGTATAACGGTACCTCCCGATGATTTTAGCCCCATTATTCACCGGAATTCTTTCAAATTTGGTATTTGATGTTCGTAATGGTTACTACAGCCTAAGACGGAAAATTGTCTGTGCAGGTTCATGTCTTCGTATGGCCCCCATATAACGGCACCTCGCGATATTCGAAATTTTGATGATTTTAGCGACATTATTCACCGGAATTGTATCAAATTTGGTATTTGAGGTTCGTAATGAATACTACAGCCTATGACAGAAAATTGTCTGTGCAGGTCAAACTTTCTGAATTGATACTACAGTATATGACAGGGGATTGGCTGTGTAGGTCCAGGTCTTCTTATAGCCCCTATATAATAGTACCTTCCTATATTGATGATTTTAGTTACATTATTCAAGTTTCGCATTTGAATGTTTTAATGGCTTATGACAAATGTTACCTAGGGAGGTCCACGTCGTCGGTTAGACCCTAATATGACGTCAACATTTGTTATTTTTAAGATTTTAACAGATTTTTGTTTTTTGTTTTTTTTTGAAAATTGTCAAATTTGTTTCTATTGGTGGAGGGTATTCAAAGTTCGGCCCGGCCGAACTTAAAGTTTTTTTATTTTTTGATTTATTTTTAAAAAATTTTTCAAGTTCCTTTCAAATGGTGGAGTGTATAAAATGTTGGATCTGACCGAACTAAGCTGCTTTTTTACTTGTTTCTTCTTATTTGGTGTGGTTTCTTTCATATCAACAATGACAAACATTTTTCTTTTGGCGTCAGAATTCTGCAAGGAATTCTCATTGTACTCATGTTTTTTTATTGAATGCACTCGTGTTATCTCGTTCGCTTTTTATCTCCAGAGGTAAATGAAATTTTATTTGTGTTTGTTCGTGTGTGGGTTTGTAAATATTTTGAAATATTTTTTTTTTCAATATTTTCATTCAATTGTTTGTGATGTTGTTGTTTTAATTTACGATTATTGAATGAATTAATAAATGAACATTTTTAACATATCTGCCTACCTACATATACACTTGTTCGCTTGTAGCGCGTCGTATATATCTGTTGGACAATATATGTGACAGTCATGCACTTCCAGGTCCATCTTGTTTTGTTGCAATCTACAACAGAATAAATGATAAAAGCCGAAAGCAACAATAATAATAATAAACATACAGAGATACCAGTCTAGTATCTATGGTATTTTTGCCATTGTACGTATATGTGTAGATATACCTATATGCAATATAAGGGATGGGGGCTTTAGGGGTATATCTTTATGTAATTTGTTTTACAATAAATATAATTCTCTCAAATCCAGAATAACCTTCATCACATTGAAGTACGGAGTCTTACGTCTTTTCCATTTGAAATCGTTTAAAAATTTTACCTTTTTGGAGAAAGGAACATACAGGGTTAGATAAAAAACTGCAACAAAGTCAAAAGCCATATTTTTTTACATTTTTCTTTAAATTTTATTGAAGGAAAGCAAAAAATGTCGGAAATAGCATCAAATTTTAGAATAAGTTTAGATTTGTTCGAATTGGTCACCTTTGGCACGAATTATGGCCTTCAAACGGTCAATGAAACCGTCACACGCTGCCCAAATGTTGCTCTGCGGTATTTTGGGCCATTTCCGGCGAAGCGCTTGCTTGAGGTAATGGACACTTTGGTATTTTTTAGTGTATACCTTCCATTCCAAAATACTACAGAGACACAATAGTCCAACGGATTGGTATCCGGAGATTTTGGTGGCCATTGTGCGCTGGAAATGAAGCGCTGAACCTCATTTTGTAACCATTCTTGGGTGGCGCGTGTTGAGTGCGGTGGTGCTGAATCCTGTTAAAATGCCCAAGGTCTACGGCCAATATGTTAGCGTGCCCAAGGGTTTAATAAACCCTCCAGAATATTTTCGCGATAATATTTATTCTGATGCCACGGCCGATTAATACGAGCGGAGTGCGACCATCGGCTGTTATGGCGGCCCAAAACATTACCATGGCCGGTGCTTGAGTTCTGGTGGCCAACCGAAGGTGCACGTTTTCAGCTGACCTCTTTGGCAAGAAAATACGATCATTTGTTTATTTACAAACATCTGGACAACGAATTTGTTCTCATCGGAGAAAACCAAATTCGGCAGTTCACCACTTTCGGCCAAGCGAAGCAACTCTTTAGCTCTTTTGAGTCTATTTTCTTTCTGTTGCGGTGTAAGTTCTTGCACTTTTTCGAATTTCAATGGCTTTATCCCGAGCTGATTTTTCAATATTTGCCGAATGGAATATTGTGATATGTTTAGCTCACACGTCATTTTTCGGCCACTGCGTCGCGGGTTTCGATCAAGTCGCTTCCTTACTTTTCGAACCATTTCTGCTGATGTTACTGTTTTCTTCCGTCCACTTGCTTGACGTCGGGCTATGCTACCAGTAGCACGGTAACGAGCGTGGTATGAGACGCAAAATATTTATTCATATTTAAATGTTGGAGTGCTCTAACGATAGCCATTTGTGGTTTTCCAACCAAATATAAAGAAATCACACTATCACGCTTGAATTCCATCACGATTTTTTCTGGAAAATTTTCACCAAAATGCTTTTGTACGCTTGTTAACAATGTAATTTGCTGTCACTGGTTACTTTCAAAAAAGTAAACCAATTCGGAAGGGGCCGACTATATGATACCCTACATCACCATGCATATTTAGTAGAGCTCCCGTATCAAAAGAATTTATTTGAAGTAGATCATACCAACTATCAACGGTTGGCTTTAGAGCAGTTATAGTTTGGTTTCAGGGGGAACTAATATATGGCAGGCATGACGAAGACATTTTTATCTTTTATACCAAATAACATTGCCATAAAGTGCATGATGTCACTTCAAAGAGGATTATATTAAAACAAGTAAAAAAACATTAAGTTCGGCCGGGCCAAACTTTTAATACCCTCCACCTTAGGGTAAAAGAAACATTAGAAGAAATGTGGCAAAAACCATTAAAATGCCGAATATCGGGAGGTACCGTTATATGGGGGCTACATCAAAACGTGGAGCTATAATTACAATGTTCCGCCACACGAACTAGGACCCATTATGACCCACAAATACCAATTTTTAGACAAATCAGTGAAAAAATGTGGCAAAAACTATCAAAATACCGAATATCGGGAGGTACCGTTATATGGGGGCTATAACAAATCATGGACCCATACATGCAATGTTTCGCCACCGGAGCTGGAAACCATTATGACCCACAAATACCAATTTTTAGACAAATCCGTGAATAAATATGGCAAAAAAACTAAAATACCGAATATCGGG